GGTCAAAAGGTTTATGAAAATTAACGTGCTACGGTGTTAGCTATGCAACGTCGTACAATATATAACCAATTTAACATACACTCACTGACTTAAAAGAAAATTAATCAGTGAAAGGCACATTACCGTATTTAAAAACAAACGTTTGTAAAAAGATTACGTACTGTGAATACAAATTAATACATTACACAATCCAAAAAAAAAAGGATCCACAATGTCCGATACGTTGATTACTAGAGCAAACCTGCAAGGCTACAAAAATAAATTTATGTAAACAAAATCTAAAGATTTTCAAAAACACACAAGCAAATCACCTTTTGTTCCCTTCTATAAAGTCACACTGTCATACGTTTTAACTTTGTACGATCTCTTACGGCTTTGTTAATATCTGTAGCAAACTACTTTCACAAAATTTACACCAAAAACAAGAACTAAACCTATTATAAAAAAGACGTGTTGTGATAATAGTTACAAAAGGCAGGATTGACTTCTGAGGATTTTAAACTAAACGGTTTGTAACTTCCAAACGGTTGTGAAGATTTGTGGGTGGACTGACAAAAAGAAATTAATCCATATTTTTTCTACGAGCATTGAACAACTTATTACTATTTCGGGACTCTGCTCGTTTTGAATGGGCCGAGTTATCAATGGATACAGATAAAGTTAATGCATCATTTAAAAAATAAATTACTTCCAGGAAATCAAGAACGGAAAAAGTGCTCTACAGTACAATTTACATGTTATTTGCTAAGGCTATATATCAAGCAGCACAGAAGCAATGGGCATCGTGTTTAAACGTTAAAAAAAATCATGCGTTGGTGAGGGAGAAGAGTATAGAGATATGAAGGAGTTGAAGGCTCATATAGAGTATAAACACTGATATAGACGAGTTGAGCTGAATGGTCCATTTTCGTGCTGTAATGTTTTGTGTACTTCTATAGTCTTTAAATGTATTATTAAATCACAGGATGTCTAAAAACTAACAATTTTTATCTTGATTTGATCATGTTGAGCCATCTCAAAATAACGTTTTAAGAGTATGGACCTCGACCCAAATCCCATGCAAACATGGTGTATATTAGAGAAGTATGTATATTTTGTAACGTTTACCAGGCAGATCGGTCATTTATTTAGTATTATAAACAAAAGAAACATTTTTTTTTAAAAAATTTAAAGTCAGCTTAATTCTTACTTATTATTGGCTCATCGGTTCTTGAACTCAGTGCACAGAATAACCTACATAATTTTGAACAAGTTTAAATACGCGAATTGTATTAGTTATAGGAGTATAGTGTTTCCTTTATATAGTCTTGTGAAAAGTATACATATATACATGAAATGTTCCTTATTACTACAAATTTTAGGGGAAAAAAAAGTGTTGAGGAAGGAAGTATTTTTCCTAGGAGAGGGGAATAACTAACAAAAGGCTAAATAAGTACTAAAATATTTTAAATAAATACTTGATTTACTGGCACACGACAGTACGGTAATATGAAACATAGCAACGTCAGGATAAGTTGCTTTTGAAGCTTCAGAATCTTCTGGTGATAAAACATTTGATATTTGGCACAAATTACCAATGAGATATTATTTATATGATTCAGTCGTGGAAAATATTTTCCCATTTTAATGCAACAATTATTATTCCAAATGACTGCTTTCATTATTTTATGGTTCAAGAGTCTCCGGTGTCTCAGTGATGCTGCACAGCAGGACGAGGCCTCAACGAACTGTCAACGCAATTATAGAATTGAGTGAAAATGTTAGCAAATGCTAAGCATTAAATGGTATTACACGGAATATACACAGTCAATTTGTAGATTCTATACAGTAGGAAAGAGCAAAATACTTCAGTTGAGTACCTTTTGGAGAAGGGAGGTTACGGAGCATCAGCACTCACATCCCCAATTCCCAGTTTAGTACTAACTAGATTATTTATTGGCTTCTGTTTTTATCTCGGCCAAATAAAATAAACGGCAGTATCGCGCAGCTTCCCACGGTGAGGTGAAATTTTAAACATCTATGGCTCAACAGGATCCGCTTTTGAGTACAAAGTTAACAACGTGCAACAAATGCATTTGCCCGCTCCCAAATACAGTTTAAACTGTTCACCTACACTTGTGTTAGTACAAAAATAATGTACTTTTGTTATCAGTTTGTTGTGAATCCTCGTGACCTTATGATGTTCAACAATGATCAGATCCAAACAGCTCCATACTCCCTCCACAAGATGCATCACTGAGTTAGTTTTGAGGCCTTCAATTAAATGTGCATAAAATCAAGCATTGCATTGAAAGAAGTTACCTGCTACTTGTTGCTCTAGAAGTATTACACGTAAGTGCAAACAGTTTAACTTGAAGGGTTTGATAAAAGTGAATATTCTTTTCCCTGCTTATGAATTATAGCGGATTTTACAAATATTTGAATCTGCCGTCTAAAGATACGTAAAGTGAAAGCGTTGGGCATTACAAAGTGATGTGTAGCTATTCGAACGTAAAAAAAAAAATCATGCGTTCGTGAGGAGAAGAGTATAGAGATATGAAGGAGTTTTTTTTTTGTTTGTTGTGGTTCATAACGACATGCTTCATTTAACCCTAACATCCTCACACAGAATTCAATCCAAAGATCGTCAATGCTGCCTTTTTAAACCTACTTTTCAGGGGCGCTAATGTCATATTCATAGGATGCAAGCTACGACATTGCCTTCAAATATAATCATTTCACGTCAGCACAATTCCCAAATCTCTTCTTCAGCCCAAATTCAAGCATCTATGAATACTAACTGGTTTCTAATACCACTCAAAAAGATTCCAGCAAGAAAATGACGGTAAATTGTAAATTTTGTTAAAGCATATAACTGATAACAGTGTAAGTAGTCCCGTATGGAAAAATAAAATAACCCATGTTAATTAACTGACTTACCGCATTCTCTACATTCACAAAGCTTTATAAAGACACACGACTTGATTGTCTAAGGCCGAGTATGAAGACTAGCAAATGACTAGCTCTGTAATGTAATAAAATGCCTATACCGTCACAAAATGTTTTTCCAAGTCCTATAAATAAATCAGTTAAACAAAAATAGCTTTGGTAACCTAGTACTGTACATAGTTAGATCTGTGAAAAATACTTTGCACATATAACCCAAAAAACTAAATATTAAATATATATTTCCTGAGTAAAACAGTTAATCTGATTATTAGGAAGGTTTGGCAAGAATAATCCCATTAATACAGTACATTATATACTAATATCTAAAGTCTTAAATTAAGATTCAATCAATATTAAAATAAATATGGAATGCTTTAAAATTATAATCCCTTAAACTGATATTTCAAACAAACAAAAACTTTTGTCATTCATTAAGTGCACACTAAATCAAATATAGGTACTATTATTTCCCACCACAAAGGGTTAGTATATCTAAGAACTAATCCTGAGTAACATTTCTTCTCATCCCTCAACCAGTAACTTTTAACACAAATTATATGTAATGAAATTACTGCAGTTACATCAGTCTACCAGCTCAGAAATAAAATGCAATGATGACAATGGCACTGTACTGTAGGACATTTCAAGGTAAACAGGTTAGTTTATGTATCTGCACTGTTGTCCAGTTATACTTATCGCACCACATCCCTCAACTGACTTAAGACATCTTGATAATTAAGCACCCACGAATACACAGCTGCGTTTTAAAATGAGTCAATTTTCAAAGAGGACAACTGACAATTTGTTTTAAGTTTCCATTGTACAGAGAGGTAATGATAGTGTCAGCTGACTTTCTAATTTAATAGCCAGAGCTACCCATGTTTTATGAAAGCATAATACGGTAAATGCTTGCTAGATTATACAAAACTATTCAACCATTTTAATTAAAACGTACAGTGCTTTGGGCTGAGAGTGTGGGCTCTAAAACAGGGCGGCTCAAAATATTATCAGATGTTATATTGTATCGTCCTTTTTTGTGTTTTAAAAAAGGAGTTTGATTCACTAGTTTGTTAGTCATCTCAACTTCCGATTTTTTTTTCCAGTTCTAGCAAACTGTGGCCCCCAAACCTTAAATGATTTGCATTTACCAAATTCATTTATAACCATCATATATCGAAAAATTATTGTTAGACGTCATATGCATCAAACACGAATGTTTTGGCTTCCATTTAACTTGTTTTAAAATTGGGCAACTAAATAGATTCTGTGCCTTTTCATTTGCAGTTCTTGCTGATTTTACTATGAAGTTTAGCAGTTAGTGAAGTTTGAAATAATGATTTCAGCTTTTTAAGTTCAACACGTAAAGAGCATCAGGTAAGATACTGCATATGTAAATATATGGCCCGTCAGAACAATATTAATGATTAAACTGAATTTAATTTTGTACTATGCTTGCAATTACTTTTCTCTAATAAAACTTAATAATAAGCCTTGCATTTGGTATAGCGCCTTATTACGTCATAAGGACATCTCAAAGCGCTTCACAGGAATTACTGTAAAATGAAGTGACTTATTTGTTGGAAAACATGGCAGCACAACTGCACACAGCAATGTCCCACAAACAGCCATGAAGTGAATGACCAATTTTATTCAGGGGATTGTTGGCCACGATACAGGGAGAAACTCCCTTCTCCTTTTGAATAGCGTCTTAGGGATCATTTAACGTCTAACTGAACAGATAGACGGGACCTCTGTTTAACTTCTCATCCAAAGGACGGCACCTCCGACAATGCAACGCACTGCATTGGAGTGTCATCTTCGACTATATAACCTTCTGACTCAGAGTCAAGGGTGCTATCAATGAGCCAAGCTGACTTTACAATCATCATCTCAAACAATCTTTCAGATTACAACTAGTAAGGCAATATTTGCTGAGAATCTAATTTCTCTGGTCTCTTAGATTTCTGCTTCTGAATTCTTCACTGGCAATTGTGAAACTAGAAAAGTGGGGAAGATCAGAAGTTTACATAGAATGATGAAAATTAAAATACGAGAATAAATACACCTATAGTATAGGTCAATGTAAAACAAGTTTAAGAATGAAATATTTTTGGATGATTAAAAAAAAAGTAACTTTGCCCTACAAAAAGGGCTGATTCAACAAGATCTTTCACAGTGGTAAAATACTATAATTTAAATACTTATTTTGTGTCAGTTTCACAAATTAACTATGCATCTGATACTGAGCCATATAGTCCAGGAATGTCTGAATGCCTGTTAGGGGCACAATATATAATATATATGGATACCCACATCCTAAATGACTGAGCTGATCAATCAATATCTATAGTTGTAACTAATTTCCCAGCTTGCCATCTCTGAAAATAATTTTATTTCTACCTACAGAAACTGTTACTAATTAAGTTTCAAACAGTCATAACGTTTGTCAAGAGCTTAATGTGGTTATCTTTAATTATTCAACTTCAAAATTTTCTTTTATAAATTACCTCAAGCCTCCCTATACAAACTCACCACCACCAATATTATGAATAGTAATGATTATTGAATGATATCAAAGTATTGTTTCAGCTCTCAGTGGCTGGCAATCTAAAAGGAGGATTTAGCTAGGATAACAACGCATGAAAATCCAAGTTAAAACTAGTATTCTATGTGAAAGGGAAAAAAAAAAAAATATTCCACAGAATATTCAAACGTACATTTCCCCCGGAATTTCACACACCACTATTTCTACAAAATATAAGATAGGTCCAGGTTGTGCAAGCCTCAAGTAGACATGACTAAATAATTCAGGAAGTAAAGATTTTGAATACTAAGCATACTTTGTGTGTTTTCAATTATTTGGCCACATATAACTTATTGATTAATATTCTGCTTAATTATACACAAAATATTGCAAAACAAATTCTAAAAACGTATAAGAACATTTTTCACTAATTAATCTTGAATAAACTTAAATATCCAAGCCCTGCGGCGAACGGAGACGAGAATTTGAAAAAAAAATGGAACAGGAATTTTTTTACTGGATTCAGATATTTCAACCAGCGTGTGAGGCGGTAGAAATATTTAGAACAGAGCCCTTAAGCATCATAGTTTCTCCCTTATCCCTCCAAAAGTTGGAAAAAAAGTCTGTTCAGCATTTCTCTTCCACTCAAACTCAACTTTCAGTAACAATGGGGAAAAAGCACAGCAACTATTAAGTGTCTCTCGGTATAGTCTCATGCAGTTAGTATCTGCTGATATTCTGCATTTGCCAGTCTCAACTTTCAACAGAAACAAGTTATGCAACATTCTGACCCAGCTGAAAATACTCAATTCCTGTAAGAAAAAATGATACAGCACCTGTGTTTTAAACATAAGTGGTTATGTATATAAAAAAAACAGCCACTGTGCAAAAAAAAACAGACTCCATTTTGCAGGGATTTTCTCATAAGTTAATAATCTCAATTGTCTACTCTTATTCAGCTGCAGCTTTCAACCAGATTCTTCCTCGTCTCAAAATTCAACTTGCCCGCTTTTTTAAAAAAAATTCTGTGTACATTTTTCATAAAACTGAAGAATTCTAGGTTAATGTATAATTTTTTTAAAATTATGCCTGTAATTCACTGATTCCAGATCCTCAAACATATAACTGCAATATTGCTTTAAGCACGTCTCTTAGATTTCTGAAATATTTGGCAGCACATCGAAAGCTGAATTTTTACTTTTTCATCAGACATTCTCTGTTGCAGACGCTTTCTCCCTTTATTTCTGCACATCCGTGGTAGTCAGATTCAGGCTTCTCCAGCATTTTCCCCTCGACGTTCCCTTCGTCTTCACTCAGAATGCAGTTTTTTCCAGTGTTCTCCGGACACAGATCTTTCAGCGCCTTTTCAATTTCACCTTGCTTGGCTAAAATGCCCAAAGAGCTTTTTGGCAAAGTCATCTGCAGAGCACACCACAGGGCAGTGCGGGCTTTGCGGGTCGAAATGGTCAACTCCTTTATGGCAGCTGCCAGGGCCAAAACATCTGCTTAAAACAGCAAAACATCAATTTATACAATATTACATTTGCAAAGCCACCTTTCACTTTGGAAGGACGTCCCAAGGCGCTGGACAGTCAGGGATTTGAACCCAGGGGGGCTGGTGGCGGAGGGGGGGGGGGGCGGAGTTTGGGATCAGGAGTAGTGGAGGGCATTATATGACTGGAATTGGTGACTGGAAGGATCTAACACATACTACACTGAGTGCAAAACTGAGAGATGACATCAGCCAGTGGCCAAAGCACTGAGGGAATTGGCGGACTGATAAGGTTGCATCAATACATTTGGCAGGTTGAAAAAATTCTGTATACATTTTTCATAAAATTGAAGAACTGCCTACCCTTGTCATCATTGTACCGTGGTGCTCCTTGTCGCTGTCGATTTGCAGCATTTATTATCTCATCTTTACGACGTGCTTGGGTGACATGGATAGCTTCCAAATGACACTCAAGAGTAGTAGATATATTAGCATGAACTGGAGAGCTACGCAGACGTTCCATTTTGCCAAGCAAAGTTAAGACCTGCCATGCAATTGAAATATCAACTGAAAAGACATTCTTAGGAATCTGCCAGTGAACAAATTCATTTTCAGCATGGAATGAGCAAGACTATTCGGCTCCCCAAACCAGCTTCCCAAACAGGCCATGCAAAGCCTCATTAAGGACATCATCACATCAACTATTTGCTGGGAGAGAGTTCTTCTACATGTCAAATATGCATTTGCTTACATTTAAGTAACTAAAGTTCACCTGTTTCTCCTTGACCCATCCTGAATTAATTAATCCGGTAAATGCTTTATATCGTTTTTATATCAGTCCATCTTTCAAAGGATGCTTAGTACATAATGATTACTGTACTCTGTACAGCTTGAGAACATATTGCGTTGTTTTACCCACCGACCGATCTGTTGTGCCACAGAATGGGAATAAGATTTGCACTCATGATTTGGCCTCAACAAATTTCCAGTCTTTTTAGCACCATTTGGGTAAGTTCAGAAGTGCTTCTCACCCTCTCAACTGCAGAATATTGTGTGATGGGATACATGTAAAAGAGGGGTCCAAATAACAATCAAAATTGAACTAAACACGAAAAATGAACACTATTAATGTGTATTAAGAGTCCACCTACCCTAGCCTGTTCACGTAACTGATCAACAATTAAACGGTCTACTCTTGAAGGATTAGAAGGAAGGCGAGGAACAGGAGTGTTGTTTGAACTAGACACTCGTTTCCCAGGGAAGTTTCTTGCAAGCTCAGCTTCAGTCTGCAAAAAAAGAAAAGAGAATATGAATATACTCAGAAGTCCCATTATAACGCAATGGTTGGATGCATAAATTCCCAACCAACGCTTTAACTAAGAGTGATACTGGTTTCCCTGTGCATTTACAGTCAGAGTTGACTCACTGTGTGCTGGTTGATTACCCGCACTAAATAAATTATCAACGTCCAGGTCATTGCCACAACATCACTTCCTATTTGTTGTGTATGCACAAGGCAGGAAGTGACCTCGGCAGCAACCTAACAACCCAGAAGTCATCTTTTTTTTAAAAAAGTAGCATAATTGTAATGACTGATTTCCGGGTTATCAGTTCTCTGACAACATCACTTCATAGCTGTTTATGATATATATATATTCTGTGCACAAATTGGCTGCAGCATTTGTCTAGAAATACAAGAATACTTTACAGTAAAACCCAGTAAAAAGAGCTTTGAGATGTGTCGATGTGGTGACGATGTATATCAAATGCAAATATTATTATTATAATGTTGGTGGCAACCTAATGACCTGAAAAATGATCATTTTAGTACAAGAGACAGCGGGTTGTGCACATGTGCTGTCATTCGGACGCACACTGCATGTGCTATAAAACAAAATCCACGCAAAAAAAACCCAGCATTTTAAGACACTGTATGTATTAAGAATATTCAATAGACCAAATGGCAATATTCTACGTCATAGATTTTATGATTCAGGCAGTTACATTTTCATCTCAGGAAAAAAAAATGCATCATTTGCTTAAGAGTGCTTCCACTAGAAAAATCACAGAACTATAAAAGTCCTTCTTCTCCTCAGTTAAGGAACATACCTTGGAGTAACCTTGTACTAGGTTACTCGGATTGTATGTTACAACATCGTTCCATAAAATGTAACAATCAGAATGAAAAATAGTAGTTTAGACGTCTCAAAACCCTTCACAGGATTTTACTGCAAAGTGCAGTATCTTTTTGTAAGCTGGAGTAAGCAAGAACAAAAAGAGCTTTCTCACACATACAATTACGTCAGTGTTCATTAATCAGTGGATCACTTGTTAATAGTTGTTCATATATTGCACAATTTCAAGAAGTAACTTAAAAAATATCAGTCCACTTTCTTACAGTGTTCAACTACATTTCAGATGACTGAGTGAGGCATTTAATACTATGAAAGGATTATGTAAGGCAGATGTTGATGACCTGTTTCCACTTGTTGGCAAGTCTAAAACTGGAAGGCATAAATATAGGATAGCCAGCTGTAAATCTAATGGACAGTTAAGGAAGAATGCAGAGGGTGGTCATAATATCGAACTCCCAGCCAGAAACTGGTCGAAGCAAATCTCAATGTATTTCAGAGACATTTTTATGCATATGTGAGGGAGAAGTGTATAGAATCATATAATAATACAGCACAGGAGGCCATTTGGTCCGTAGTGCCTGTGCCAACTCCTTGGAAGAGCCACCCAATCAGTCCCACTCCCCTGCTCTTTCCCCATATCCTTGTAAATTCTTCCTTTTCAAGTACCTATGCAATTCCCTTTTGAGAGTTGATATTGATCGTCGTCCCCCCCACCCCCCCCTTTCAGGCACTGCATTCCAAATCATAACAACACTGTGTAAAAAAAACATTCCCCTCATCTCCTCTGATTCTTTTGCCAATTATCTTAAATCTATGTCCCCTGGTTACCGACCCATCTGCCAGCGGAAAGTTTCTCCACATCTACTCTTTATCAAAATCCCTCATAATTTTGAACACCTCTATTAAATAAATCTCTCCTTAACCTTCTCTGCTCTGAGGAGAACCATCCCAGTTTCTCCAGTCTCGCCACGTAACTAAAGTTCCTCATCCCTGGTACCATTCAGGTAAATCTTCTAAATCACCCTATACAAGGCCTTGACATCCTTCCTAAAGTATGGTGCCCAGAATTGGACACAATACCCCAGCTGAGACCCAACCACTGACTTATAGAGGCTTAGAGGAACTTCCTTGCGTTTGTACTCTATGCCTCTATGTATAAAGCCAAAGAACCCATATGCTTTTTTAACAGCTTCATCAACCTGTCCTTCCACCTTCAGAGCATATAGAGGTACAGATGAGGGGAATAGGATGGCGGGACTCATGTTGAGTTTAAATATTTAAATATATACCACTCATGTGGCCTGTTTCCAATGATTGTATCACTTCATGAAACCATTTACTGCACCCCTAATTCTTCTGGTAAGGTATACCTTTTTCCTCTCCTTTTCCAAAGCTCTCCACTGTTCATAACACTCCTCCAGTCGAACATGAAGTTCATTTGCTGGGCCGCTGCGATTCTTCATGGGCCTATATTTGGCAAAGGGTGGTGGAAATCCAAAGTAGGGTGCAGTCATTTCGCTACAGAAAAGATCATTCAGAAAAGGATGTAGATGGTTAAAGTCATCATAATGAAAATAGTCAATGAGTTCGGGAACTTGAAATCCCGAAGGAGGCAAAGGAAAATTAGGTGAAAATGTCTGTGGGCCAAACTGTGAGAAATTTTGGTTTTGCTTAAAATCAGGCATCATGAACGGGAATGGTGGGATGAATGATTGATTAATGAAATCAGACAAACTGCTGCCATCTTGTTCAGGTTTTCTCCGGGAATTATTATATTGGTGACGTTCGGGGCCAAAGATCCCAGGCTGCACAGAAGGTGGAAAGCCATTTTTACGGCCTCTTCTATCATCCCTGTTGTTGCTGCTGTTGGATCCCTGCTTGTTAGGGTGTCTAACATATTTGGCTGGCATCCCACTGCTGATATTATGAGGGGGTGCCCAGTTGGTTCCAAAGTTAACAGGTTGGTTTTGATAATGATCATACCTGGTAGCAGATGACTCAATTGGTGAGTGTATGCCCCTCTGGTTTTGCTCTTGCATTTGGACACTGGCACTGCATGAGCCCCAATCATAGTTGGTATTATTAGGAACCTTTGGACAAGCATCTGGTCTTAGGGGAACTATTGGAGGATAACAGTTAGGCTGAAGGATACCAGACATTGACAACTGTGTTGGTGACCCGCTACTTATAGTAGTCACCTTTGAAGTGTGTGACCTTGGTGAAATTATATTCTCCTGTTTCCTAAATACTGCATTGGGTTCATTTGTAGGACTCAAGATGTTGCTATTGGACCATAACATGTTCCCTTGGGAAGGCTGAGGAATATAGTCGCTAGTATCAGGAATGTTTTTTGCTAAATGGGTATAGTCAGGTGACCTGGGGAAATCTTCAATGGAATGCTGACGTAGATTTTTGCTTGGATTCTCAAAATGGCCTCTTAAAGAACGGTTTTCCCTCTTTGGAAAAGTAGACTTTCGGTTCATGTCGGCAACAAGACCGTTCTTGGAAAACTGCTGGACTGGCACATCCACCTGTGAAAGAGAAGCACCATTTGGAAGACGAGCGGTGTTGAAGTCTTCGTATCCATTTTGAATTTGCTGATTTTCGTGCGACAGCTTGCCCCACGTTTCTCCAAAATGTGAACTATAGCCATTTTCCGGATATCTGTTGTGATCTTTATCCCCAAATGTCATGAATTTATTGTCTCTGAATCGGTCCGAATTGTAGTGCTCCCTGCTTGCATTTGTGTTATTAATATTGCAGTTGTTACGAAAGCTACGGATGCCAAAATTGGAAGTACTTCTGTCAAAACCTTTGTAAGCTTCAGCTTCTTCATGATCACATGAGCACTGTTCAAATTCTTTGTTCTGTAAAGAAAATCCTTCTTGATGTGAAAGGGTATCGTTTCTCATGACAGGCGAGACGTCACTGGATTGAGAATCGCACTGATTGGAATCCTTACTAATTATGGACATCCATGGCTCGGTCAGATTCAGATTGTGAAATCCATGGTAGAGGTCGTCAAATGTTTTTTCAGGCGGAGTCTGAGCATTTGCTTCGTAGTATTCATGAATTCCGAGATTATCTGAATTTCTACCACTTTGTGCATTGTTCTTCAAAGGAGCTCCAGTACTGTCCCCGTTTGCAGTTGACCAAATTGATTGAAACAACCTGGACGATGAATTCCTGAAAGGCAAATAGGTTTGTGATTATTACAAGTAAAATACAACATTGATTTTATACTGAATCTTTATCTTGCTTTGCTGCAGGTCATAGCATTGAAAGGATGAGGGTAATATCATATTACAGCTTGAAATCAAAAACTAATCCTTGCATTTCATATAGTCATGAAGTGAATGACCACCTTTAGCTGAGAATTCGTTAGCCCAGGACATTGGGACAAACTCCCTTCATTTTTCAAATAATGCCATGGGATCTTTAATATCCACCTGAGCAGACGAGACCTCAGTTTAAGATTTCATCCAAAAGATGACACCTGAAAATGTAAAACTCCACCTAGACTATGATCTCAAAGACCCGTTGTGGGCTTGAACCCACAACTTTCTGACTCAGAATAAATATTAACATGTGAGCACAGCTGACATCCCAAAGCAGTAAAGTTAAATTATTTGTTTAAGATTGATAGAACACAAGTGTTAGATTTATTTCAGATCAACATTATTGTGATTTATTTTCAGAAAATACTATATTGGGGTAGCCATTTGCACCAGCAAGGTCCTGAAAAAGCATGAAATGAATAACCAATTGATCAATAATTGTAGACCAGATGCATCGGAGCCCCCGATGTTAATGCGCACCAATAGATCACAAAAATCATCTTACCAGTCAGAAAAGGAATCAGACTTATCAGGCTCCTCCAGTATGCTGGAGACTAATCGAACCAAATCTGGCACATTTCCAGAATCGGATAAACTGATCTGGGTTCTGAAAGGATGAAGACCAGTTAAAAACATTCAATACATTATTTTTTAAAACAAACTGTACCCCTCCTGGATCAACGAAAATGGTCACGAGAAAACATCACAAAGTCCACTTTTCTGTGCAATGAGTCAAGGACTTGGGACTCTTATCAAACTGCACATAATGTTTACTCCTATTTACTAATGTGTTACATAATATACAGCAGTTCAGGTATGGTGATTATCTTAAAACCAATTTACAAATTCTGATGAAGGTTTAACATAAAAAGTACCGGTTTTACACTGGTGAACTAAAATACCAACTGATCCAAGAATTAGTTAATCACAAGTCATTCTATGAATTCTACTTAGTATTGTGACACTCCTGACCAAGTGTTATTATGCATTTATCCTGTATGTAGTTTCCATGGTCTGTTGGGACTTGTTCTCCTAAAGTGTTATTAGTTGGTATTTGCAAATGCTAGTATCAAGGGTATTCAGGTGAAATATTGCCTGTTAAACGTTAAAGATCTTCCGTGGCACTATTCAAAAAAAGAAGAGTTTCTCTCCCGGTGTCCTGGCCGACAATCTCCCAGATAAATTTGGTCCCTCATTCCATGGCTGTTTGTAGGACACTGCTGTGCACAAATGGTTGCTGTGTTTCACACAAAAAACCCACTTCAGAATGTATCCTGTGAAGCGGTTTGAGATAACTCAACAACATGATATTAAGTACTGTTATTATTCATTTGAGGTGCTCCAGGTTAATGTCGAAATTGTCCATAGTCGAACTTCCTAAAAATAGGTTCTTCAATAAACTGAATTTACCTTTGTTTAGATCCATCCTGAAAAGCAACTGGAGGTGCACAATCATCAGCAAAGACAGACCAGTGGTTGTACAGGAGGGTTGGATCAACAGAAGGTGTAGAATTGCTAATTCCATTCAACAAAGAGGCTGAAAAAAGCTGTTCCATGTTTTCTTCTCTCCAGTTTACCTATTAACAGCAAGATTGTGATTATTAATAGAGAAATGGTTCATTACCCCCAAATACCCTATTCACTAAATAACTGTGACAATGTTTACTTTTTGTTAAAGCACTTTTACATTCACGTATGAGGTAAATCCAGAAGCTCCAATTCAATCCATATAAATATAAAACACATGTTGGCCTTGGCACTTGGGAAGATAAAAGCAGCTTCCTTTGTTTAGAATGGGTTACAAGACTTTCACAGAACCCAGAATTATTCTAGTCATTTAACAATTATTACAATAATTTTCTTTACCCAGTTCAGTAGGACCTGTATTTATTATTGCTACCATAAGTTATTTTTATCTGGCTCTTCCAAAAGATAACAATATATCAACAAGGGTCAAACAATTATAGTGCACAATAAGGTAGTAGATAATCAAGAATCCAATGTACTTCCTGGATAGGTTTTAACCCATAGCTCCAATTAACATTACTCATCCAAGGATTACTCTCCTGGGAATCCCAACAAGGTTCCTCAACAGACCTTACTTGGCTGAATGTAGAAAATTGTGTCAAGGATCAACCAGGTCATGACTATATGTCCATATAAATCTTCAGATTTTCACCAGTAATCAAAGATTTTTTTGAAAAAAGTTGCACCCACCTCTTAAATGGACAGTGGGAGCAGTGAGCCAGGAAAAACAAGGTGAACAAATTAGGAAAAATATGTCAGAATAGGTTGCACGAACAACATGGAATTATGTTAAGATTTTCCCACTCTTCTCACTAACCCCAATAACCCCAGAAATATATAGTCACAGTATATGCAAATGCAATGCAAACAGTTTTTTTACTATACTTACAATTCTGCGCAGAAGTACAGCGATGTGGATCATGGATCCTGGTTAATACTGCCAGTTACACATTGCTTACTATAAGGACAGACCTTCCTCCTCCTACATTTTAGAATTCAGTAGGGACATTTTAACATCATTAAAGAGACAGTCCTGTGATTGTGATTGGATTGTGTGAAGAAATCCAGCACGATTCACATTTATACTGCATCATTGCTCCTCAAAATATCTGCTCCAGGAAAGACTACTGAAATCACAGTAATTCGCCATCAAATGTAAAGAACAAAATTGACGTATGGATCAAAGTATGAAATGCTTCACCTTACCTGTGATTTACAATAACTGAAGGGGAGAGGAGAGCTGGCCACTTTCTCATTGAGACCAAATGCAGATCCCTTTTCCACATCCAGATCATTGCAGTTAATATAAGGACTCACCGACTTTAAAACGGGTCCAGGCTTAACAAAAATTAAAAAGGTATTTCAGATTCCTTTTCTACAACAGGAGCAGTGATATAATGCAATGTATATCAGACTAATATACAATCGGCAAGTGTAATTATAGTGTTTTTTTATTCTATTGAGTTTAACACTAAAATATTTAATACACCAACTGCCTGGAACTCACACAAAACAATTTATTTGCCAGTTTAGGCAGATATCAGGCCTGTGATTTTGTTAACAAGAGACTTTATTTACTTTTTGAAAAGAAAGATGTTCTAACAAAAATTAAAGCATTAATATCAATATTCTTATATAAATAAAACCACAAAGGCTATTTAATAGTACAATAAGCAATGATTGAAACCAAATTAATGTGCTGTTTACAGTCATAGATCAACTAGAGTTCCACCTTTCCCTGATTTACTTTTACACATTGTCCATTCAATGTCAATAAAGAAAATGCCATGAGCACTTCTAGTGTCTTGTTGCATTACACATGGTAAATTACACCTGTAGTAACTTGTTGTCCTGGGTTACCTGCTGAGTGTAAACACACAAGACGGTTGCTGTTGCTACATGTGCACTCCGCCCATTTAGAAAGAAACAGCATCTACGTACATAAACCTACAAGTTAGTCTCTCATCTGCGGGGGATCATCAACAGAAATAAATTTCTTCTTCCGCCCAAAGAAAAATACCATGGGTGGGCAGCCAACTACCAATGGCTTGCTCTAGCAATGCCAGAAGATTGGTATTAGAACATTGTCCACAAACACACAATTTCTAGCAGCGGTCACTGGAAAATAACAGAAGGGTGAACCCTGGTTGATTCCATCTCTTCCTCAGTACCACAGGGTACTGAGGACAACTGTAGCCTTCCATGACCTCCCAAACTGAGACCAACCAACTCAGCACAGAACAGGAAACAAACCGGGACCTTCTAGGGATTTATAGCTCAGTCATTCTGAGTCCTCAGAGCAGCTTTTATTTCTCATTAATTCTAATTCAATCCGGCAGAAAGCATTATTTTGTCAGTTATCCCAAATCAGACAGAGTTCTACCCAAGGAAGATAGATGAGGATTGTCCCAGAGTTCCAGGGGACCTTGAGAGCTTTCATACACTTCTAGTCATGACTTACTCTGCGCGGGAACAATAATCCTTGCATCTCAAAGTGCTTCACAGAATATATTGCAAAGACTATTTTGTGGGCGAAACGCTGCAGCCAAATGCGCACAATCAGTGCCCCACAAATGGTTGTGGATTGAGTGAGCAATTATTTTTTTTAAAGGGATTATCATGCCCAGAAAGTGACCCGCCAATCTATTTTAACAACCAGGTTCCTGCTTACTGCTAGATAAACAAGCACGTGGAGTAAGAAATTTGCGTAAGGTTTCGCCCTAACTGGGAATTGAACCCAGGTCCCCTCGCTTGCGAGGAGAGCGCATTAACCGCTACCCTACAGGACTACTATCCTTCATATTTTGCATTCTGAATATCCTTCAAAATATCCTTCGGATTTTACACGCTTGCCAACCCACCCTTAATTTACATTACAAACGGGTTGCAGAATGAACTTCTTCCGGCAAGTCCCCCAATGCAACTGAAACAAATGCTTTGCTGCGGCAAAACGGTAACGAAGACACACGCATAATACACCCTCCTCCCCAACAATTCACGAAAAATAGGTCGGAAGTTTCCCCGGTTTCCCTCAAACGCACACGTTAATTCGGCGAAGTGGATCGCGAGAGGATTTCCTGGCGTCGTGCCAGCATTACGCCTAATAATAATCCCTCCAAAACAAAAAAATAATAATAAATTGGTCATTTTCAACCCACGGCTGTTTGTGTGCGGGGAGACAGACGCCGCTGCTGTGCGCAATCAGCTGCCGCGTTCCGCCCACAAATATACGGTCAATTCACTTGACGGTCTGTTCTGTGAAGCGCTTTGGGACGTCTCGAAGACGTGATAAGGCGCCGTATCAAATGGCAGGATTATTATTATTATTATTATTAAAGGTGCTCGTTCGCGAAAAAAAAAACCTCTGCGCTCCCGGCTGCCGTGGGTGGGTGAGCGAACCTGGAAGGCATTCCAGAACAACAACAACAACAACACCGCCGCCGCCGCCCCCCAAAAAATGCTCGAAACAACAACAGCAACAACAACAAGATTGCATTTATAGAGCGCCTTTCGCGTCGGGAGGACGTCCCAAGGCGCCGGACAGTTGGGTCGGGACCCGAGCGGTGGGGTGGGGGGGGTGAGGGGTGGGGGGGGGATGGTCAGGGTGAGGGGAGGGAAGGAGGCAGCGAGGAGGGGGTAGAGAGTGGAGCTGAAGGGACGGTCGAAGAGAAAGCTCTTGAGACCGGCCTTGAAGGAGGAAAGGGAGGAAGCGAAGGCGAAAGCACTGGGGACGGGGGGGGGGGGGGCGAACCCCTATCTATCGCATTATGTTTATGAACGGTGCACCCGTCGATCGGTCATCTTCCGCCCGGTCTGTCCCCCAAATACCTCAACGGGGGGGGGGGGGGAACCGCAACGGGGGGGGAAGGGGGGTTACTCACTCGGGTCCCGGCCAGCAGCCGCCTGTCGGTCAGACCGCGGGTCTCTGCGATGGCGGCGATCTCGGTGTGCAGACCCTGCCGAGCAAAGACGTCGCCATTTAGTGTGTGTGCGTGTTTTTTTTACACACACACACTACACGCACACTACACACCGCACACTACACACCACACTACACACCACACACACACACACACACACGCATACCTTTCCGGGGTTGCTAACAGGAAACGCACTTTCAACCGTGGCAAATTCACAGGAAATACAGCGACGCGCACACAAAAAAATTTCTTCCCATTCCTTCCCCCTCACACACACACACACACACCCTCCCCTCCCCTTCCTGCAAAATGACGTCTTCGTTCGCCAACCGCAGCGCTCCTGTGGTGAAATGTACCATCACAGTCTACAGGGAACGCGCGCGCACACACACACACACACAACACACCTCACATCGCTCCAGCACTCAAAATCAATGTAAAAGTGCTCGGCTTTTACCCGCACGTAATTATTGCCTCGTAAAACAGACCGTGGTTTTTATCTTGCATTACTGCATTACATTGCATTGCTGCATTACATTGCATTGCTGCATTACATTGCATTACTGCATTACATTGCATTGCTGCATTGCATTGCTGCATTACATTGCATTGCTGCATTACATTGCATTACTGCATTACATTGCATTACTGCATTACATTGCATTGCTGCATTACATTGCATTGCTGCATTACATTGCATTACTGCATTACATTGCATTGCATTACATTGCATTACAAAATATCTCGCATTTACCGTCGATCATTGGCGGTTTTGCGCGCATTTATTATAATTCGACTAAAACGCCCCCCTCCCCCCCAAAAAAAAACGATGCAAATGAGTTGCCACTGATTCCCCAAGTCATCCCCAAAGATACTTTGCAGTATCTGCAAAGATACTGCAGATCACTGCAATACAAACACCCGACAACTTCAGCAAAACCTTCGCTCGATAAACAACAAATAATATCGCACACAAATACGGTGAGAAAGTTCACAGGCGGAAAGACTTCGTTCACGTACAAGTTTACTGATATGAATGCGGGTCGTTTAACGCTGCAATTTAACCGCAGTTCGGTTCATGTCGCTCGAATATTTATTGGGATATGCGATTAGACGTACTCTTAAATGCTCTACTGCTGCTCCACAGCCACATCGCCATCCTCTCCCTGCTCCACCTCACTCAATGAACAGCCCAATGGCAGGGTCCAGCCAACCATCCGTGGTGGTCTTGGCAGTGTGTTCCTGAGCCAGGCACGTTCGCACTACTCCAAGGTACTACTGATGGCAGTAGCCAGGAACCCGCGTGTGTACTAAATGCTGTACATGGATACGTGCGGCTATTGATATCGATAATGACGACTCGCGCGGCGGTGACAAGTTAAGCCGCCGTCGAGTTATCCGGAGTTGTCTGTCGCCCTCTGACTGGCAAATGCAGTGCTCACAATGCAGAGCAGCGTTACCACTGCAACAAGACGTCATGGAGTCGGGTGAAACCATCTCAGGGCAATCCAAACCCAGCTCACGTTCCTGATGCAAAAAGCCTCTTATCCCTGCGGTGACTTTCCTGACACCTTCTGCTTAACTCCCCAAAAGCCAGAAGGGCCCGTGTCCTCGGTTTAACATCTCGTCCAAAGGAGGGCACCTCCCGACAATGTTGAGGCTCCGCCTTTCCAGGTGGATGCTAAAGATCTCAATAGTATGACTTGAAAAGAGAAGGGCATTTCTCACGGTGTACTGGCCAACACTAGCCCCAAAATAAAATTAGTCGCCGACTCCCCATGGCTGCTTGTGGGACATTTCTGCGCTGCAATGGCCAACAGAATGCAGTCCCACCACTTTACAGCACATCCTGTAAAGTGCTTTGAGAAGTCTGGACCATGTGATAATGCACAACATCAAATGTAAGGTTTATTATAATAGATAGATGGATGGATGGATGGATGGATGGATGGATGGCAGGTACAATGAACTCACTGGTGAGTAGCACAGCTAGTAGATTTCAGTGCAGGGCGAAACCTTCTAATAATAATCCTTGTATTTGATATAGCGCCTTATCATGCTATTGAGACGTTTCAAAGCACTTCATGGGATACTGTAAAGTGAATTGACTGTATATTTTGTGGACGGAACCCGGGAGCCAATTGCGCACAGCACCAACAACAGAATTACGTTTATAGAGTGCCTTTCACTTTGGGAGGACGTCCCAAGACGCTGTCGTGGATTGAGTGACCACATTATTATTATTTTGAAGGGATTATTACCCCCGGAAAGCGATCTGCCGATACACTAACAACCCAGTTCCTACTTAGTGCGAGCTAAACAGTGGTGTGTGCGCGTGTGTTTGTGTAAAGAAACTTGGCTAAGGTTTCACCCTGTCCCGGCTCGGCGTCGTGCTCCGCCAATGTCAAGCGCTCCGAGACGCCGCCCCGCATGACGAGGGCTGAGTAAACGCAACTTGTTGTCGTATAGCGTCAGGGACGATGCTGCGAGACGGTGGGATGTGTGGCCCGGGGGACTTACAACCTTAGGACAAGTTTCCTTACTCCACCCGCGTTTATCTAGCAGTAAATAGCAACTCGGTCATTAGTCGATCGCCGTCCGGGAGTAATAATCCCTTCAAAATAATAACAATTTGGTCACTCAATCCACGACTGTATGTTGGACAACTGTCTTCCGCGTTTCACCGACAAAACATACCGCACCTCCACTTTACAGTTTATCCTGTGAAGCGCTTCGAGACGTCAACTTGCAAAGACGTGATCAGGCGCTGTATCAAATGCAAGGGTTGTTACTATTATTATTATTATTATCATTGATTATTGATTAAATCAGATTTCATACGTTCTACCCCAAGGTTGCCTTTCTTCGCGTAAAACCCGATTAAACGTTACGGTCCAGACTGATGCGGACCGATGCGAGTTACATTGCAAGCCGCTGCCGCTGACAAACACCTGCGAGGAAGGGGGACGGTCACAGTGGCTGGAGCTGTGACGAGACGCAGCTTGCAACGGGTTTTTCCTTCCTTTTTGAGACGACGTCTCAAAAAGCGCTTTCACTTGCGTGCCGTCAAGTGAATCCGTTCGCACGTTCGTACGCGCGTCCCTCGCGGGCGGAAGACGCGGCAGCGGGGGAGTCCCCCACCCACCGACAGTTGCGGGTCGAAGCGACCGATCTATTATTGTTATGATTATTATTTCGTCGAAGGGATTATTACCCTTCTGTGGAGTCCTGTAGCTCAGTGGTTAGAGCACTCACTTTGCAAGCGAGAGACCTGAGTTCAATTCCAGGCAGAGGGCGAAACCTTGGGCAAGTTTCCTTACTCCACACAGAGCCTAATAATAGTCCCTCCAAAACCAAAAACAATAATAAATTGGTCATTTTCAATCTACGACTGTTTGTGGGACATTGCTGTGCGCAATTGGCTGCCGCGTTCGCCCACAAATATACAGTCAATTCACTTTACAGTGTGTTCTGTGGAGCGCTTTGGGACGTCCTCCCGACGTGAAAAGCGCTCTATGAAATGCGAGGATTATTATTATTATTATTATTATTATTACCCCCCCACCGGAAAAGCGATCCGCCGATGGTCCGACAACCAGGTTCGCACCGACTGCGGGGCAACCAGAGGCGCGCGGAGTAAGGAAACTTGCCCAACGCTTCAAATCCTATATCCAACGCAAAGATTTATCATCATTATTATTATTATTATTATTATTTTGGCCCCCACCTCCCCTCAGCCCCACCCTCACCCAAATTAAACAACAAACAAAAAAAAACACTTTCTTTCTTTCTTTTTCCCTCTTCTCTCCTCTATAGTTTTCTCACCAAAAACCAAAACCACTCACCGCCATGGGTGGCGAACAAGGCGCCCGGGGGGTGGGGGGGGTGTACACGGTCGGTCTCGTTGCTCTGAGGGAGACGAGTCGCCACCATGTCACACACACGCACTCCCTCTCCCCGCGCTCTCCTCTCAGCTCTGCACTGGAGCCGCTCGAGCGGACGGACGACCGCCCCCCCCTCACCCCACCCCCGGGTCAACGTTCCATTTCCAACCGTCACCAACGGTCAAACCCCGCAGCCGCCCCCACGGCTCGCGCTCTTTATGCGCGCGCTTCTGCTGCCAGCGCGCGCGCGCGGGCGCGGGCGGGCGCAGCGCAGCGAACGCTCACCGCTTTCCCTCCACCCCCACCCCCCCGCGCGGGCGGGACGCAGCCAGCAGCGCTTCCATAGCAACCGCCATAGCAACCGCTTCGCTCTGCTCCACCTTCCCGCCCCCCCTCCCCACACACACACACACACACACACGCGCGCACAAACCCCGCCCCCCGCCTTCGCCCCGCCCTCGCCCGCGCTCCTCCCTCCCTCCCGCGCGGCCAACCGCTGAGGAGCCCCGCCCCCCGACCCGCCCAACGCGCCCAAAAAGTAGCCCAATATTAAGTGCAAATAACAACAATAACAATAACAATAATTATCATCGTTGCATTTGATAAAGCGGCTCCGAGACGACTCCCACTGCAGCCACTGCGCTACTTGCGGACGGGACGGGGCGGCCCACCGCGCCCGGCGGGGGTTCCACATACAGTCGTGGATTCGAAGCGACCAATCTATTGATCTGTTTGTTTGTCAATCTGTAATTGTTATTACCACACACACCCCCCACCTCCCCCCCGGGGCGGGGGAAAGCGATCCGCCAAATCTCCGGGGTTCCCGTTTACCGGCGAGGGTCACAGAGCCCCTGCGTGCGGAGTCGGGAAACTTGGCCAAAGTTTCGCCCCCGACCCGGGAATCGAACCCAGGACCTCTCTCCCCCTCTCTCTCTCTCTGTCGCTGACCACTGAGCAACAGCACTCCAGTTCGGGTGATCCGACAGGTGCAGCTCAGTCACTCAGCCGCTGCTGTGGTTACTGACGAGAGGCGGTTTAAGGCGCGGCAGCAATTATAGGAAAATCAGTCGTGCAAACCACCCGACCCGACAACTGCCACGCAAGGCCTCTCATGAGTCGTGATCGTTCCTCTCTTCAGTTAAAAAGCGGTTCTAATTTAAATTATGATTTAAGGTCAGACAAGGCAGCAGTCCTCGCCGGGGTCCTTTGCCTCCTACCTGCGGCAGAATGGATCGATTTCAAGCTGCGTAAATAAAATGTTTACAGGGCATAGCACCCCTCACGAAGGGCAGCGTCTCAGAGCACTTTAGTAATAATAATAATCCTCGCATTTGATACAGCGCTTTTCACGTCGGGAGGACGTCCCAAAGCGCTTCACAGAACACACTATAAAGTGAATTGACTGTATATTTGTGGGCGAACGCGGCGGCCAATGGCGCACAGCAATGTCCCACAAACAGTCGTAGATTGAAAATGACCAATTTATTATTGTTTTTGGTTTTGGAGGGATTATTATTAGGCTCTGTGTGGAGTAAGGAAACTTGCCCAAGGTTTCGCCCTTTGCCTGGAATTGAACGCAGGTCTCTCGCTCGCAAAACGAGTGCTCTAACCACTGAGCTACAGTACTCCAATTAGTAATTAGGAACCCGGCGATCTGGCGGATCGTAAATGCTTTGAGACGTTTCAATTACACGATAAAGGGCTATATAAAATGCAAGGATTATACAGTGCAGGATTCAGGAAGAGTAAAGTCAGGACAGGAAAAAGACATAGGAGGAAACAAAGGGCACAGCTACTGTGCTATTAGCAGAGAAATGCTGAAGGTGTGATGGATAGAATAAGGTGAGTCAAGAGAAAGTACAACAATAGTAAGCGAGAAATTCCAATGCAACACTGTGTGTAAAAAAAAAATGCTGGAAATGTGAAATAAAAACAACAAAAACCCTGGAAATCTCATCCTTTATTTTACTTCCAAAATAAACTGCTGCCCCGCTGGAATAAAAGAAATCCAGTTTTGAACAGTGAGCTGTAGTTTCCCTGCGGTGGTTGAAAGTCTGTTGACGTTCAGTGTTGGCTTCTAATAATAATAATAATAATCCTTGCATTTGATATAGTGCTTTTCGCGTCTTCCTGACGTCTCAAAAGCGCTTCACAGAATACGCATGAAGAATGGCAACTTGGGCAAATCTGTGGAATTGTTCGGGCAGGAATCAGTGTCTTCAGGGAGGAGAGGAAGAAAAGTGGCCAAAAGTAAAAGCTTACGCGCAACTTAAATGAATCAAAGGTAAATATCCCAATTGTACCAATTCATCTGGTTACTTATGAGCTTGCAGCAACGCACCAATAAAATATTTTAATGTTCATTTATTCCTCTTGTTCGCTTCATCATTCGGCCACCAGCCTGGCACAAGCGCACTCAAGGACACACGCTTGCCATCGGTTGTTGCCATCTGAAGTGGCTCGCTGGCTTGGGCCAGCCGGATCAGGGCTAAACCGACATCACCCTCACTGTTCTTGTAGCTCCCCGCAGGCTTCCCGGCTTCGGACACGATCGCCGCCTTGTCTGGGATGCTGCCAGGAGGCGGAGCGCTCTTAAGCTTGATCGGCATCAGCCTCTTCCGTATGACCCCGGTGTGCTGAGTCCGAGCGGTCAGCTCCTGCCCGATGTAGCAGCCTTTGCTGAAACTGATCCCATTCATGTAAACGAGATTGGACTCCAGAGGCAGTGCTACACCTGGTACAATGTCCTTTACACCTTCAGGAATTCCTTAATAAAATAAAATAAAAAAATTCCAGACATCATTCCAGACGATGGCCTATATTCTGTGGCTTTGAGATACAAAAGCATTACACATAATTATGATAATATAATAAACCCTTGCAATTTGGTATTAAACAGAAATTCCACCCTGGTCCAAATTATGTGGAGACCTATAGCGTACTCGCCTCACAAACAAGAGGACTAGGGTTCGCTTCCTAGACAGAGGGAAACGTTAGACAAGTTTACTTACTCCACTGTTTACCAGTAAGTAGGAACCCGGTTATTAGTCGATTGCAGATCAACAACACCTTGGATTCATATAGCGCCCTTCAAGGGGGGTAGTGTTTCGGGGTAATAATCCCCTTTTAAAAAAAATTGGGCACAATCGGTTGCTGCGTTTCTCCCACAAAATAGTCACTTAACAGTATATTTTGTGGGCAAAATTGATGTTTTACTATAAATACACTGTCACTGCAATTTACCTGCAAAGAGATGCATAAAAATTTAGGACTTGCATTAAGCTTGAACTGCCTTAGTGCTGACTGAAAAGGACATTTCTGGCAGATGTTTAGCTGTGTTCTCCTGAATAGTTAATGACTGCAAGTTCAAAAAATTAAGAAACACTGATAGAATGGAGTGAAATTTATCATGTAACTTCCTTGTGCATTATTGTCACTAGAGAGCTTTTTATTTATTCACTATTAATGATTATTATTATTAATCATTCAGACAGAACTGAATTCAAGTTATATGTTGTTCTCCTTGTTGTTCATATTATTAATTTTTATTGGTGCACGAAACAACACTGTTTAATTAAAGCTGTGCAAATCTCTGTGCCAAGGTCAAACACCACTGTGTTGTTATATCTGGGGGGAGGAGGGTTAAAAATTATTGAAATTAATTAGACCCTAGAGGAAGTACAGTATTGCTAGTTTGTACAGATTAATTGCTGCAGTTTTCATATGATAATAATCCTTACACTTGGTATAGCCCCCTTTTCACCAGTTCCGGCCTCCTGCATGTCCCTCGCACCCTCCGCTCCACCATTGGAGGTCGTGCATTCAGCCCCAAAACTCTGCAACACTCTCCCTCAATCCCTCCGCCTCGTACCCTCTCTCAAATCCCACCTGAAACCCTTCCTTTTTGACCGTGCTTACAGTCACCTCCCCACCCCGGCTCGGAGTCAGGCTCCGCCACTGTTAAGCGCTCTGAGACGCCACCCTGCGTGGTGGGCGCTGTTTAAGTGCAAGTTGTCGTTGATTCATGTTACGAGTTATACTGTAAAGAGCGTTTTGTAGGCTAATGCAGCAGCCAATTTGCGCACAGGAACACCCCACGAACAGCCACAAAGCGATTGACCAATTTTATTCTGGGGAATTGTTGGCCTGGATACCAGGGGAACCCTCGTTCTCTTTTCGAATCGCGCCGTGGGATCTTTAACCCGCAGCTGCTCAGATGGGACAGGGCCTCGGTTTAACATCTCACCCGAAAGACGGAACTTCCAATAATGCAGCACAACCCCAACACTGCATTTCAATGTTAGTATAGACTATATGAGTTCCAAGTCCCGATATGGGGCTTGAACCTATAGCTTCTGACTCAGAGGCGAGAGCACTACCAACTGAGCCAGGGTTAGAGGCAATCCAATCATCTCAGTCATGTTTTGACAACAACTAGACACACCAGGGGTTAATGTTGCCAGACAATTTTCAAAATGTGGAAAAAATATCCAAACTTAGACCGGATGGACTAGAAGCCTGATTCTGTGTACATTTCATAAAAATATAAACCTTCAGCACAAAGGGTCAGTCCAGACTACTGTAATGTAATAAACATTTGATATACAATACAAATTTATATAGCACCTTTAACGTCGAGAGGCCAACTCAAAACTCTTCACAGGATATTCTTTGAATAGAACGAATGACTGTATTTTGTGGGCGATCTCAGCAGCCAATTTGCACACAATGTCCCACATACAGCCATGAAATAAATGAACCAATTTTATCTGGGGGGATTGTTGGTCAGGTCACCGGGTGACTCTGCCTTGTTCATACACTGAAACAGTGATTCCCAAAAGCCACACTTGAACAACAACACTGTTTCGTTTTTACTGCTTGAAAGTAACGGCTACTCCTTACCTATTTTATACCTATGTCTGTGGTAGTCCTGGATATCTCCTTGCTGACTTTCCGGCACAATATCCAATGGATTTTCAAGTTTGTCCAGCACCAGTCGCCACCCCATAGCTTCAGTGCGGGGATCAGGCGTACAGGTGACCACCTTCCTTGGGTCCACTTCCAAGGCACCACCAGCTTCCTTTGACTGTTTGGAGGGGAGTACTGACCACAGCGACAGGTGTGGACAGGGGGCCAAGTCCACTTTCCTTCGTATTTTATAAACCTTTAAATGCTTCTGAAGAGCCTCGAGCATTGCAACGTCGCATTCCAAGAGGACAGCTGGCTCTTCGTCTTGGTTTTTGTGCAACCTAGCGTGCGGAGGAACAGAGCATCAGGTTTCTAAGAACCGATCAGAGTGGATTTGCCGCCAGGACATGGGTATCAAACCTGCATAAACATACGATTCTCTTCAGCGCACGTACACCCGATTCACAAGTTGCAAAATTCCACAAAGGCATTCCTTTTTTTTAAAAAAATAATATTTGGGAACGTAGGTTAGGGCCGCCCAACTGCCGAGGGCTTTGGGCTCGCAAAGGAATCTGAATGGGAGTTGATTGGTGCTATTGAGGTCAATTTTACACCCAATTGATATTTTTTCACTGTATTGATTAAAAACTAAACATGGAGAAATAATACATACACAGACCCCCTCAGGACACACACACACTCACAGGCACCCCAGGGGACACACACACACACACACACACACAGAGACACCCCAGGACACACACACAGGCACCCAAGGGGACACACACACAGACAGACACCCCAGGGGACACAGACACCCCAGGGGACACACAGACACCCCAGGGACACACAGACACCCAGGACACAGACACCCCAGGGGACACACACACACACACAGACACCCCAGGGGGCACACACACAGACACCCCAGGGGACACACAGACACCCCAGGGGACACACACACAGACACCCCAGGGGACACACACACAGACACCCCAGGGGACACACACACACACAGACACCCCAGGGGACACACAGACACCCCAGGGGACACACACACAGACACCCCAGGGGACACACAGACACCCCAGGGGGCACACACACAGACACCCCAGGGGACACACACACACACAGACACCCCAGGGGACACACACACAGACACCCCAGGGGACACACAGACACCCCAGGGGACACAGACACCCCAGGGGACACACACACACACAGACACCCCAGGGACACACACACAGACACACACACACACCTGTACATGATGGAGTCGAACACGCTCCTCCCCTGCACGTTCAGCAGGTGACAGTAAAGAGCCGCGGCGGTGCCGCCGCTCAGCAGCAGCTCCACGTCGTTGGTCACCAGGCCCTGCAGGAAGCTGGCGGTGTCGCGGCCCCCGAGGCCCAGCAGCGCGCGGTGGGCCAGAGCGTAGCAGCGATAGCGGGGGGACGCGGCCTCGGGCTCCGGCCCCGCGGCGGCGGCGGCGGCGGCGGCGGAAGAGCGGCGGGCGGGTGAAGGCGGCGGCGGCGGCGGCATCAGCAGCAGTAGCAGCCGCCGCCGGTGCGCCGCCAACCCCGGGCCGCGCCTCAGCTGCAGCGGCAACATTCCCTTCTCTCCTCTGCGCCCGTTTTTTTTTCCCCTTCAGTTAAAACTTTTCCTCACAGGAGCCGCCGCCATCATCTTCTTCTTCAGCCAAACTCCCGCCAACAAACAAGGAGCCGCCGAGTCGGGGGGGAAAGATGGCCCCGCGGCTCTCCGCTCGCTCGCGCTCTCTGTGACGGTGACAGCGCCACCTGTTGGTTGGAGGTCCGCGGGTAACACGCCCCTCCGCCTGCAGCGCCACCCGTTGGTTGGAGGTCCGCGGGTAACACGCCCCTCCGCTGCAGCGCCACCTGTTGGTGTAACGAGCTCCTCGGTCACAGCGCCGCCTGTTGGTGCAGGTCCGTGTGTGCAATAATACAACTGCACCCAATTACAACAATAATAATAATAATAATAATAATCATTACAATAATAACTCTGGCATTTGACACAGCGCCTGATCGGGGCTTCAACACGTCTCAAAGCGCTTCACGGGATACGCCGTAAAGCGAATTGGCCGTGTGTTTTGCGGGCGCAACGCGGCAGCCGATCGCGCGCAGCAGCGTGTCCCCCCCCTCCCCCCCTCCCCCCCCTCCCCCTCCGCGGACAGCCGCGGGTTGAGTGACCCGATCGTTAAAATATTTTTTTCATCATAGTTTTTAGATTAAGAATCTTAGGGATTCTTGACCCCAGGAAAGTGAACCGCCAATCGACGAACAAGCGGGTTCCTGCTTACCTAAGGTTTCGCTCCCCCCCCCCCCCACCCCCCACCCCCCACCCCCCACCCCCCCACCCACCCCCCACCCCCACCCCCCACCCCGCCCGCCCGCCGGGGAATTGAACCCGGGTCCACTCGCCTGCGAAAGTTGTCGTCGCAATAGTAAGCAGTTAATCCCGCGAAGCGCTTTGAGATGTTTCAGCGATGAGGCTTTACTTCACACGGATGGTTATTTTCATCCGTACATTTGCAATAGATATTTCGTAATAATTATAATAACACTCCCGGCATTTGACACACACAGCGCCGCATCACGTCTTCTGGACGTCTCAAAGCGCTTCGCGGGATACACTGTACAGTGAATTGACTGTGTGTTTTGTGGGGGAGAACAGTGGCTTATGATCCGCCGTGCGAGCTTGCAGGTCAGTGAGTTGTTCTGTATTGCGAGTTATTTCAGTTGCCACGAGGGGTCACACTCGATCCTGACCGGATGGCATCGTCTAAATTTTTTTTCTTTACATTTTGGATGAATATGACACAAGTGGAATAGTAAAGGGGAGACAGTAACAACAAAATGACGTCTGTGCAGCGCCGTTCACGTCGGGAGAACGTCCCAAGGCCCTGGACAGTCAGTGTTTCGGACCCGGGGCGGGGCGGGCGGGGCGGGCGGGGCGGGGGGTTGGGATTGAGTCGGAAGGAACGGGGAAACGGAATTAGATTGCGCAGATCTAGTGATCACACACAAGCGCTGGCGAGGCTCTATTCGCCAAATGTTTTCCTTCTGAGCTGCAATGTCTACCACAACCTGTGTTTGGACATGTGGAGTCCTGCAGCTCAGTGGTTGGAGCGCTCGCCCGGCAAGCGAGGCACCCGGGGTCAATTCCTCGGGCACGTTTCCTTGCTCCACACGCCTGATAATAATCCCTCCAAAAAACAAAACGGTAATAAATTGGTCATTTTCAATCCACGGCTGTTCTTGGGGGGACGCTGCTGCGCGCAATCGGCCGCCGCGTTTCGCCCACAAAATATACGGTCAATTCACTTTACGGTCTATTCTGCGAAGCGCTTTGAGACGTCGAGGAGGCGTGAAAGGCGCTACATGAATTGCAAGGATTATTATTGTATTATTATTAGAGATAGCGCCCCTGCACGCAGACAGAAGGGAGTTTCTCTCTCTCCTGGTGTCTGGCCAACAATTCCCCCAAATAAGATTGGTCGCTCGCTCCGTGGCTGTTTGTAGGGCGTTGCAACCGAATGTTTCCTCGCGATAACATTACGATAACATTACGCTTCTCAGTAGAATCCCGAGAAAGCTTCGACAAGCCTCAATTGCACGGCGCAGCACGTATTTTCGCCCGCAAAATAGCGCCAATGCCGGGCTTACTAAGCGAATAAGCAAATAAGACGTTTGTTTACTAAGAGAACACAGAAAAGCATCGCGCACTGTCCGTCCCCTGGGAGCTGCGCCAATGCTAAATTTACTCGACCGACTCACAGACGAAGCTTTTGTGCTCTGTTTTCCTCCCACTCACACAAATTCCCGAGTGGCGGTGTGCGCGGGTTTCCAGATAAGGCTGTGTGGACAGAGCTGGCGTTTGCCCTCCGTGTCCGCGCCGGCTTTTTTTTGAAAGTGCGATCGACTCAAACCCCTCCGCTCAGCTTTTTCCGAAACCCCCCGCAAATGATTCCTCTTTAGATATTGAACCAGTTCCCCCCCCCCCCCTCGCCCCCGACACACCACGCAGCCCGAAACCGCCTCCTCTCCCCCCCCCCCCACCCCCCACCCAATGGTAACGAGACACAAGTCCGCTTTTTGTAGTAAGTTTATTAAAAGGTATTCAAGATGTACAATGGCAAGAGGCAGTTAAAGTGAAAACTGTGATGAAACTGACCAATATTCTGCCCTCGAGCTGCTTCATAATGATGAGGCCTCCGAGCCTGGACCCTTTAACCCACCCCCACTCCCACCCGCCCGCCACCACACACACACACACACACACACTCGCACGCACATCCTCCGGGACAAGATGAAGGAACCACTATTCATGTGTTACATGTGTTTGACACGGTTGTTGCTGGGATTGCTTAATCAGTCGGGCGGGTGTGAAACCCATCACCAAGTCAGACTGAACGTTCCTCGTGCGTCCGTCACCCGCCCGTGGAAATTTTCCCCGCGTCTGGAATGAAATGCGCCCCCTCTCTCTCTCTCTCTCTCTCTCCCTGGAGGGATACACCCCGCTCACCTAATTCCAGTGAATAATAGGCACAGCTTGGTTAAAAAAAAAGGCCGGGGCTTAGAATATGTGCGTCAACCTGTTAAACTCACACAACTTGCCATTGAGAGCAACTGTTTGGCAATCTTATTATGCAGTGTGGCGTAAGGAAACTTGCCTCAGGTTTCACCCCGTCGGGGAATTGAACCCAGGTCCTGCTCGCTACGGGACTCAGTGGGATGTAACTCCGAGCATTGGGGAGAAGGGAGAGGGAGGAAGAGAAGCCCAGTCGAAGACTAGACTTGCAGACACGTATAGAGAGCGAGCGGGGGGGGGGTGGTGGTGCGGGGGTGGGAGAGAATCAAGGCAGGGGGTCTGAGGGAGGAATTTGCAGAGGTTAAGTTAGGTGAAGGTTAGGCCACCGAATAGTGTTAGTATGAAACAGGCACATGGGATCTGGTTTTAACATCTCACCGACTGCGGTGGTGGTGGTGGTGGTGGGGGTGTGGATGAGTGGGTGTAATATTTTGCCCAGAACACTCACAGTAGTGAGGTCTCCTTGTGCCCTTGCAATTGGAACCACAATAACCACCTCGATACAGCGGGTGAGCATCTCACAGTGCAACTGCTTCCTGGCCCAAAGCATTCGATACCAGTTTGGCTAAACCTGACCCGAGTTGGAACGCGAAGGTGGCTTTCCATCCCAACTTCAAGTCCCGTGTAAAAATGGATCAACAAACCAAACCCCTCAACGGATGTCAGAAAGAGACGCTCGGAAAAAAGGAAACAGAAAGACCAGGTTGGACGTAGTCAATCATGCTTCCTGAGGCCTGAAATTCCACCTTATCTTAGCCTTTAGGATCGGCCGGGTGTCTGACACCCATCTCTGTCCTCGACAGTCTCCAAACCGACCACCTGAGAGCTTCTCATCCGCACGGTTTCCGTTTTGTTTGGTCCAAGACCATACAACACAACATACAGTTTAACACAACATACAGTTTATACAGCACCCTTCACGTCGGGAGGACCTCTCAAAAGCGCTTCATAGTACTTGGTGGGCACCCGCGATGGGGGGGGGTGGTTGGGAGTCAAGGGGAACGGGGAGGGTAAAGGTAGAATACTTCCAGGTTGGAAGCACAGTCCAAGGTGCTTAACAATCCTGGTTTGGCATCTTTGGCAATGCAATTCGGAATCGCGCCCCCACTCCCCTCTGTACCGGTCTCCAGCCCCCGGTTCCTGAGCCAGGAGGGGCCGCAGTGTCCCAGGGCACTCACGGCTGATGGCAGCACAGCCCGGCCCTGGCTCATCCATCGGCAGGAACTGGAAGGGCCGACCAGTCACTGGGGGCCGGGAATCCTCCCCCTCAGCTCCTGTTAACCCCACAGCCAAAGCCCCAACTAACTAACTAACGGGGAGGGTGGTCCTAGCTGGACAAGCAGCGGGAAAGCTTGGCCAGCACTCGAAGGGCAACAAAAAGCAGGGTCAAGGAGGTACAAAATGAAGATGTGGAGGAATCGAGTGGAGTTGCTATGGATTTCCAGAGAAAAGAGTCGACTTCAGACCGAAACACCATTTTGTCTTGAGGCTCACGGTGGCCCGGAATTGTACACGGGATTTAAATTCAGTCTTAATTTAGATTTTAGTCTTAATTTAGAAGCCATCCCTTTTTTTCAAGAACCAGGAGGGAGGTGGGGTGGGGCAGGGGTGGGGAATGGGGAAACGGTTTCCATATTAAGTACGAATTTCCTTAATTCTGTGCCATCTTAAACGTTAAGACATAATAATAATAATCATAATAATAATAATAATAAAGGGGCCATCAATATAAAACAGTCACAAATAGATCAAATAGGGGAGTTAGACGTAATTTCTTCACACAGAGAGTAGTGGGAATGTGGAACGAGGAGTAATTGAGGCAAATAGCACAGATGTATTGAAGGGGAAGCTCGATAGGTCCATGAGGGAGAAAGGAGGAGAAGGTTAGGCTTGAAGGCTTAGTTGAGGAAGGGCAGGAGGAGGCTCGTGTGGAGCATAAACACCGGCACAGACCAGTTGGGCCGAGTGGCCCGTTTCCGTGCTGTATATTCTAATGTATAATAATAATAATAATAATACCACATCTCATCCAAAGGACGTTATGCCTGACAAGTGCAGGGCTCTCCCAGCGTTTGTGCCGGAGCATCAGCCTGGGACGAAGAGCTCGAAGCCTACGGGGGCGGCAGTACTTGAACCGGCAACGTCTGACTCACGCCGGCGCCCGGTTAACTAACACCAGGTGCAATTTCAGACTGACGCAAGTTGCTTTTTTTTTTACACACGCGCACGCGCACACAAGAGATCGAGAACCCGGCCGGTAAGCGCGACCCAGCGGAAAATACTCCGGGTCTTTTCCCACCGTAAATAAAGTACGGCAGTCGTTTCGGATGGCAGGAGAAGCTCGCTCCGACTATTGTTCGACCAGAGAAGTTGACGTCGGGGGGGAACCGAGTTCTCGATCGGCTTCAGGTTAAGGCACGTTTGAGAAAGTTATTTTATTTTTTTTCATTTAATTTTCGCCCTTTCGAGTGCAAAGAGAAAAAAGCCTGTGGTTCTACTTGCTCTAAATCTATATGTATGTATATATATTATATATACGTACGTATAACACAAACCCGGTCAAGCTCACAGACCCTGTCCCGATTTAGATCTGCGTTTGAAAAAGAAAATGAAACGGAATAACACAACCAACGTGCGCCGCCAGCTGTCCAGTTTGGGCTGAGAGAAAATAACTTGCCTTTTTACGAGGCCGAAATGGTTCAACGAACCTCGCCGGTGACTGCCGACAATCGTAGCGACCGAGCCCCGGCTCGTCCCTCGTCCCTTACGTTCCACAATCGGTGGCCGCGCTTTCAGCCACGGCGCCCCCCCCCCCCCACCCCCACCCCCGAAACTCTGGAACGCTCTCCTCTCTATCCCTCGCCGGCTCTGGGGCCGCTGCCCTAGGTGGGGGGGATGGGGGGGGGAGGGGGCTGGAGGGGAGGCCCGGGCGCTGTTGTTGTTGTTGTTGTGTAGTTGGGAGGCAAGCGAGGCAACCGGGAACTTACTCCGGGAAGTTCCGGCTCTCTTCTCACTCTTTGTCTTACAAGTCCACCACGACCAGACCTCGGTTCGTGTGAACCATCTGAAAGATGGCAGCGAGCTCAACTCCTGCTCCCCCACCTTCCCCCCCACCCCACACCCCACCTCCCAATTGGGGTTGGCTTAGTCTACGCGCCCAAGACCCCACATATGGGGCTCAGACCCACCTTCTGACCCCAGAGGTGAGAGTGACGCCAACAGCGACCAAACAGAAGTTCAGGTCCTCGTCAAGCTTTGATCCCTTAGGATCCCTGGGAACTCTTAGGACCTTGGAGCTAAGGCTGCTTAGAAACCCACGTAGAGAAGGGTGTGAGGATATAATAATAATAATAATAACCATAATAATATTAATCCTAGCATTTTTTTTATATAGCGCCTTATCACGTCGTTCACACTTACAAATCGCTTCACTGTAAAGTGAATTGACAAGTGTATTTTCAGGCGAAACGTGGAGTGTGCGACCAAATTTATTGCTGGGGGGTGCGATTGTTGGCTAGGACACCGGGTGTGGGGCCGGGGGGGTGGGTGGGTGGGTGGGTGGGTGGGGGGGCTGGGAGGGAAGGGAGAAAAAGACGCCTTTGCTTTTCGAGAAGGGACAGGAGGGAGAGCGAGAGAGGGAGGGAGGGAGGGAGGGAGGAGGAAGACAGGGGGTGGAGGGAAATTGAATCCAGTAGATAAAAACAGAGGAACATCCCACCCCCCAACCACCCCACCACCGCCCTCCCACCCTCTCCAGCCTCGCGTAACGTGATGCCTGGAAGCTGGGGAGCAATGTAGTGTGTGATTAGTTTCCGATGCAGTCTTTCACAGCTCAGTCACCATTAAATCCGTCAGCTTTTAGAGGGGTGGGGGGTGGGGGGGGGGGTTCAATAGACCTTTTTCTCTCCCAACAGCGTTGACAAAGACAGGGCAATCCTGTGCGGCTTCAACTCAGCGACAGCGACCGAAGGATTGTGAGCCGTTGAAATGCTCCTCATTTTCTTCGCTGATGTGCTAATTATCACCTGCGACAATACTGTATCACTTGCAAGTTCTTCCCCCCCCCCCACCCACCCACCGCCCCTTCCAACTTCCCCCACCCCCTCCACTTTCCTCTTTTTTTTTACCGCTGATTGAGCCAAATATATCCGAGAGAGAGAGAGAGAGAAAGCCTTAAACAAAGACAATTGTAAACTTTAGTTCCTGATAGGACAGAGGTCAAATAAATAATAATAATAATCATAATAATAATCCTTGCGTTCGACGTAGCGCCTTATCACGTCGTTGAGACGCCTCAAACGCTTCGGAGTAAGGTGAATCGTCTGCGTATTTTGTGGGCGAAACGCGGGAGCCGATTGTGCACGGCAGCGTCCCCACAAACAGCCGTGGATTGATGTGACCAAATTATTATTATTATTATTATTATTATTATTTGGTGGGGAGGGAGGGAGGGAGGGAGGGAGGGAGGGTGTGGGGGAAAGAGATTTTTATGATCAACTCCTACTGGGACAGACCTCGAATCCTCAGATCCTCGTAGGACAAACATGGTTCAGATCCACACTGATGGCTTCCCGTCCCCGGATTTGCTGCTGGAGCTCCCTTTGTCAGAGCCGGGTTTGGGTTTGGCTCCCTGCTTCTCCTGGGCTGCGTTGACCCGGTTCTGCTCCGCCACTGAGCCCCCAGAGCCTGGACTGCCCGCCCTGCATTTCTGCCCGTTCCCCCGGCTGTTGTAAGTCTGAAAGGCCACGTCCAGCCGTTCCTGTGCCTCCCTCAGGTGGCTGTGCAGCCTGGCCAGGTCTGGGGGCACATTGTCGTCCGGGCTGGTGCACGGAACTTCCTGAGCCACGTTGCCCAGGACTTGTTTGTGGGCCAGCAGGCCGTTGGGGACCTTGCTGCCCGTCACGTTGGGTTTGACCACCATGTTGTATCCGGGCGGCGAGGCTGGGATGTTCCGAGGGAAAGGGTACGGGAAGGGGCGGGCGCTGGTCCTGCCTCGCCTCCTCCGGCTCCTGATCACGTCCCTGACCGTCCCCATACCCAGGTGGACCATCTCTCCCAGGTTGAGCAGGAGGCAGAGGCAGCTCACCACGTACATGACGATGAGAAAGACCGTCTTCTCTGTCGGTCGCGACACGAAGCAGTCCACGGTGTGGGGGCACGGCTGCCGGGTGCACACGTAGGAGGGGTGCACCTCAAAGCCGTACAGGAGGTACTGTCCCACTAGGAAGCCCACCTCAAACAGGGCCCTGCAGATCAACTGGAAGACGTACATCCTCATCAGTCCTTCCTGCCTGATTCTGCGCCTCCCATCGTGCCTCTGTGGCCTCCCCACTCCCCTCCCCTCCCTCTCCTTCTCCCTCGCCACCTCCTCGTACATCATGGGCTCCTCCTCGTCTTCTTCCTCCCCTTCCCCCGTCCTCTCCGGCCCGCGCAGGTTCTGCCAACGGACGCCAGGAGGCGCCCTCCTCTTCCTGAAGAACCTCAGCCTCCTCTCCATCTCCATCTCCTCTTCCTCCCGATCCTCTTCCTCGGAGGAGGAAGTCCGAGCAACCTTGTGGATGGCGTAGCCCAGGTACATGACGGACGGGGTGGAGATGAGGATGATCTGGAAGACCCAGAACCTCACGTGGGAGAGAGGAGCGAAGGCATCGTAGCAGACGTTCTCACAACCCGGCTGCTTGGTGTTGCACACGAACTTGCTCTGCTCGTCCGAGTAAATGGATTCCCCACCGACAGCCGTCAGCACGATACGAAAGACGATAAGCACCGAGAGCCAGATCTTGCCCACGAAGGTGGAGTGGTTGTGGATTTCTTCGAGAAGACGGGTTAGAAAGGCCCAGCTCATATTTGACATAAGTCCTGCTCAACTGGCACCTGGAAGAGAACGAGGGGCCTCTGTTAGGTTTGAGGTGATCATAATAATAATAATGCAGTCCGTCTGTCACTTCTGGAGGGTTGTCCCAATGCGCTTCACAGGATACACTGTAAAGTTGGATGACTGTTTCGTGGGCGAATTATAACGACCCTTACAATGAGAGAAACCGAGAAGATACAGAGGAGGGCAACCAGAATGATTGAGGGAATGGAGGGACTGGACTGTGAGGAGCCACTCAGTAAATTGGACATGTTCACGCTGGAAAAGAGGAGATTGAGAGGCGACATGATTGCTGTCTTTAAGATTGTAAAGAGGCGAAACAATCTGGATCATGACGGGCTGTTCCAACTTGTCCAGTTGGAAACCAGAGGCCACGGCCGGCGATGGAAGGGGGTGAATTCAGAACGAATCTACGCAAGTTCTATTTCAGTGAACGAACCTGTGGAACAGGCTCCCTCGGGAGACGGTTGAAGCAGGAAATGTTGATTCTTTCAAACACAGCTCAGATTAGATTTATTTTTAGGAAATAACATGATGGGATACAGTACAGAGGGGGAGTTTGGGACATATGTGCAGGCGACTGCCAGGAAGGCGGAAGGTGAATTAGATGGTTATGTGGAGGAGACCAAAGGCTTAGTTGAGAAAGAGTAGGAGAGGCTCATGTGGAGCAAAAACACCGGCATAGACCGGTTAAGCCGAGGGACCTGTTTCAGTGCTGTATAATCTAACGTATTCGAGATGGACCTTGGTCTTTTCTCGTCCAGCATGTCTTATGTTCTTAGAATAATAATAATTTGACCCAGCGCCTTTTCACGTCGTTGGTCGCGTTGCGTCATTTTTGGCGAGAAGTTTCGATGCTCCGGGGTCGGGCGAACTGCTACCCTGCGCTCTCGCTGGACGTGATCGAGATGGCGGAGACAGAAGATTGGAACAGCTGGTGCGAGCAGGAGCTGTCAAAGGGAATCTTTCACTCCACACCATTCTCTCTCCCTCCCTCCCTCTCTCTCTCTCTCTCTCTCTCTCTCTGCCTTCAGAGCTGGTAAACTGCAAAGATCTGCATAATCACCAGGTGATTACATGTCGGGAACATTACTTCCCAGCCATTAACCACGAGGTGCAGTCAATTCCGCACGGATTGCATCGCAGTGGGGCCATCTGACTTGCTCTCGGAGAGAGAGAGAGAGAGAGAGAGAGAGCGCATTCCATTCCAACAATATCTCCTGGACTTCCAGGTGTAGGTCGGAAGGCCTGGAATACTCAGCTTGGGTTTGGGAGGCTTTTAAGCAAAGGTGATGGGTTTCCGCACGTGTCAGACTGACCAAAGGTCAATGCGTCCAGATATATTGCAACCAGATAAGACATGGACAGTCACTACGCTTTACAGGGTCTCCTGTGAAGCGCTTTTGAGACGTCTCGAAGACGTGATCAGGCGCGATAGCAAATGCGAGGATTATTATTATTATTATTACCTCTGTCACGGTGCTTATGGTCAACTCGCCCTACTCTCTAATGTTTTTAAAATAATAATAATAATCCTCGCCTTTGATAGAGCGCTTTTCACGTCGGAAGGACGTCCCAAAGCGCTTCACAGAACACACTGTAAAGTCAATTGACTGTATATTTGTGGGCGAACGCGGCGGCCAATTGCGCACAGCAATGTCCCACAAACAGTCGTGGATCGAAAATGACCAATTTATTATTGTTTTTGGTTTTGGAGGGATTATTATTAGGCTCTGTGTGGAGTAAGGAAACTTGCCCCGAGGTTTCGCCCTCTGCCTGGAATTGAACTCAGGTCTCTCGCTCGCAAAGCGAGTGCTCTGACCACTGAGCTACAGGAAGGTGGAAGACCTTCTGGCTCTGAGGCTGCCTTGGCGGGTCGGGCTGACAGCCAAACCACAATAGGTTGGAAGGAACGGTTTTAGGGAACGCCGCACGTGTTTTGCCACGTGTTTATCCGGCGAATGAATGTCCCGTGTTCCCTGTGCGCTGAGCGGCCCAGCCCTGCCGGCAAACCAAAGAGCCACGGAAATCTATGCCACAGCAGGAGGTCGTTCGACCCATTCCATCCGCATCAGCGTTTCTTTGCTCCTTCAACAGAGTCACCCAAACCGGTCCCAATTCCCTGCCTCTCGCCCCCCCCCGTGTCCTCTTGATGCCCTCCACGTTGACGTAAAGTCCTCAGTCTCCCCGGCACGAAACACGCAGTCAATTCACTCGACAGTATATTCGACCGCGGAGGCGCTTTGAGCCGTCTCGATGACGCTGTATCAAACGCGGGGATTATTATTATTAACCTCTCCCCCCTCTCGACAGGCCATGTCCCCTTCCTCCCCCCCCCCCCCCCCCACCCCCCGTCCGTCCGCTCCACTCTCAGGGGGTCAGGCCTTTAGCCTTTCCACTCCCACCCTCTGGGACGCCACCCCGGAGCCCCTCTCAGCCTCGCCTTCGGGTGCAAACCCTCAACTGTCCCGCCCTCGGGACTGCCCTTCCGGCTATATAAGTGTTGCCGTTGTTGTCTACTGCCCTCTTTGAAGGCCGAGATGGATTCCGTCTCAATTGCTGACTGGGCGTTCCATACCCTCGACGGGCCATGCGTTGTGATAACGTTTCTCCTAACCTCCCCATTTAATAATAATAATAATAATAATCCTTGCATTTGATATAGCGCTTTTCACGTCGGGAGAGGACGTCCCGAAGCGCTTCACGGAACGCACTGTAAAGTGAATTGACCGTATATTTGTGGGCGGACGCGGCGGCCGATTGCGCACAGCAATGTCCCACAAACAGTCGTGGATCGAAAATGACCAATTTATTATTGTTTCGGGTTTGGAGGGATTATTTACTGGTTTACTAATTATTTTGACTCGATGCCCTCTGGTCACTGACTGACTCCCTGACAGTGGGAATAATTTCTCCCCGTTGACTCTGTCCAAACGCCTCGTCATTTTAATGTCCTCTATCAGGTCACCCCTCAACCTTGTGTGTTCCAGCGAATACACACACGGAAACCACAGGCAGAGACATACATGCACACGGGCAGAGAGACACACGCACACACACAGGCAGAGAGACACACGCACACACACAGGCAGAGAGACACACGCACACACACAGGCAGAGAGATACATGCACACACACAGGCAGAGAGACACACACACACACACAGGCAGAGAGATACACGCACAAACACAGGCAGAGAGACACACGCACACACACAGGCAGAGAGACACACGCACACACACAGGCAGAGAGACACACGCACACACACAGGCAGAGAGACACACGCACACACACAGGCAGAGAGACACACACACACACACAGGCAGAGAGATACATGCACACGGGCAGAGAGACACACGCACACACACAGGCAGAGAGACACACTCACACACACAGGCAGAGAGACACACATACAAACACAGGCAGAGAGACACACACACGCACACACACACACACACACAGGGTTAGCGATAGGTACAGACAGCGTTAGAGAGAGACGCACATAAACACAAACACACACACACACAACAACAAATTACATTTGTATAGCGCCTTTCGCGTCGGGAGGACATCCCAAGAGTTAAGAGACACACACACAGAGTTAGAGAGAGAAAGAGAGAGAGACACACATACACACACACACACACACACACAGCGTTAGAGAAACGCACACACACACAACACACACCAACACAGGGTTTGGGCTCCGACTTAAAACCAAAGTTGTTGGTGTTGGATTCAGCGAAGGCGCCGGTAGTGCGGAGATCAATATATTCCTTTTATATCGCGTGTAAGTCAGCCCGGCCTCCTCCTCCTATTCCTTTTCGACTATCGAACAGAGAGGCAGATCCCTGAGATTCTGCCATGAGCCTGAACGCCGTTCCCCTACAGACCTATATTTAGTACGAGGTTACGGACTGACTGACTGACTGCAGTGGAGACCGTTGCACATCTGTTACCCTTTTCTCCAAGTCCCTCGCTGCCCCGCGTTGCGGTTTCATATCGACATGACGCGCAGTCCAACAATCTCTCCGCACATCAGCTACAGATGACAACACTTCTCTCCCGCCCCAAACCCAGACCCGACCCGACCCGACCCGACCCGGTCTCTCCATTTTCCAGAGCAGCAATAACAAAAATAATAATAATAATAATGATGATGATGATGATGATGATAATAATGATCCTGGCATTTGACACAGCGCCTCGTCACGTCGTCGAGACGTCTCGAAGCGCTTCACGGGACGGGACACGCTGCAGAGTGGATGGATCGACCTGCGTTATTTTGTGGGCGAAACGCGGCAGCCAATTGCGCACACAGCAGAGTCCCCGCAAACGGCCGTGGATCGAGCGACCAAATTCCTTAGGGTTAGGGTTAATTTCGTTATTACCCCCCACCCCCCCCACCCACCTTCCCCCGGAAAAGCGATCCGCCAATCGACTGACAACCTACTGACTGCTGAGTAAACAGAGGCGTATGTGTGTGTGCGTGTGTGTGTATGGAGTAAGGAAACTCGGCTAAGTTTCTCGCCCTGACCCGGGAATCGAACCGGGTGGGTGGGGAGAGATGGGGGGCTACTGCGCGTGGGTAAGAGGAGGGTAAGAGCGGGGCGGTAGGGAGAAGAGACGAGTGGGGGGGACGGGGGGGGACAGGGGGGGCCGAGGGGTCCGTCAGACGAGGAGATACGAACACGATTCCGCATCGGAAATTGCCGTTGCTGTAACGGGTCGGGGTTGGGGTTGGGGTTGGGGGTGGGGGTGGGTGGTGGGTGGTGTGGGTGGAGGGGGAGTGGGCGGTGGGGGGAGTGGGTGGGGGGGGCTTGTGGCGGGATGGGGGAGAGGGAGAGACGGAAATTAACAAGGCACAGAGAAACCCAGCGCTGCCTGCGGTGTGAGTTGCTGACAGCTGGACCTGGGGACGGCGTTCTATTAATAGTCAGTGCGACTGTTTCACAATGAATTTGCCGAAGAGAATCAATTCCAGTCACACGCATCTGTGGCCGCCCGTCCCAATGGGCCGCGCGCGCTCTCTCTCTCTCTCTCTCTCTCATCTCTCTCTCTCGCTCGCTCGCTCGCTAGAACAAGGACCACCACCACCACCACCACCACGACAATAATTAATTGTTCCTCCGCAGCGCCTCGAGACGTCTCAAAGAGCTTCGCCGGACGGCTGTGCCGTTAAAGCGGGACCGACTCGCGCGTTTCGAGGGCGAAACGGGGCAAAGCAAACCTGCACGGAAGCCTCCCCGCCCCCCGCCTCACCCCCCCCCCCCACCCCGCCGCCACACAAACAGCCGCGAAGCATATTCTGCGAAGCGCTTTGAGAGACGCCTCGAAGGCGCGATAACGCGCGGCTATATGGAGCACGAGGATCGTTAGTTATTGTACATTCTTCAACTGACTCTGGCTACGCTGCTCTGAATTCCACACTCCCCCCCCACCCACCACTGCCCCAACCTCCCACCGCCCCAACCTCCCACCGCCCCAACCTCCCACCGCCCCAACCTCCCACCGCCCAGCGAAATGTTCTTCATTTCACTCCTAAACGGTTCAGCCACGAGTTGCAGACGAGGAACGATAACTTGGTCGCTCCGGCCCGCGGCTGTCCGCGGCCGTGCGCAAATCGGTTGCCGCGTTTCCGCCCACAAAATATACAGCCAATTCACCTTACAGTGTGTATATCCTGTGAAGAAGCCCCTTTGAGACGTCTCGATGACCCGATCAGGCGCTGGGTCAAATGCCAGGAGTATTATTATTAATATTATTACTTGATGACCTCGAGCCCTGAAATTCTCTCGTCAGAGGAAACAGCGGTTTGCAATTCCGCCGCTCAAATCCCCCTTCAGAATCGCATCCACCTAATCGTTACAGACGGCGTTGACGTTCGAAGCTGTTTCCCTTTCCAGACAAGAAAAGAAACGGCCCCACAGTCGAAACCGGATCCCGTTCGAAATTTTGCTCGGAAAATGCCGGGTCAAACGGAACGATCCCCTAAGCATCTCACGCGCTGAAATAAAAAAAAAATGAAAGGAGACCTGAAGGCCGGGACCCCGGGCAATTGCAAAACCCCGGGGAGCGAGTGAAGACGTTTCGCGAAGCCGAAGGGGAAAAGACTGAGACAATCTGAGCTCGAGTTGGGAGCCGCGTCGAGCAAACGTCAACGGAGCTTTATCGTAGCTGCCGCGAAATCCGCGACCCTCGGGGAGTGGGGTGGGGGGGGGGGGGGGGGTTCGATCTTAAACGACGCGATCGATACCAACCGTGAGATAACACACAATAATCGCACTTAAACTTAAGACTACCCGCCCGGGAGCAGCCACTTAGCAATGGAGTTAACGTACGAGCGCACAAAGAACCAATCTCTGACTACCGCTCACTAACAGTCAGGGTATTTACCTTTGTCGTCATCGGGTAGAAAAATGGCCAACGCGAGCGCGCAATCGATGTGACTGGGGCCTCACTTATGGTTCAATGGAAATCGTCCTCCGAGCGACGCCATCGGGAGGCAAACAGCGCACCTTCCTCTCCGCTCACAGAGAGAGAGAGCGAGAGAGAGAGTCAGTTGCCCCACCAGATTGTTGCGACCGATGCTCGAGTCAGACTCGGTGGCATCGGAAGTATCAAAGCCGTGAAAATGCATTTTAAAAAATTGCATTTAAAGGGTGTTACTCAATCAAACGAGTTCGACCGAGTCCCCCCCCCACCCCCACCCCCTCACACCCTCCCCGAGCGCAATTGGCAATTACCAACTTTAACGCTGGCTGATGCTTTTTTAGCGCACAGCATAAACTTTACGGAACTTATTGTAAACGACGGACGGGCGCCGGGAACCGAGGGGTCGCCCGTGACAACTAGGTTCCCGCTTACGGCTCGGTAACGAGAGGCGTGCGGAGTAGGGAGACGTTGGGTTAGGTTTCTCCCCGGTACCGAGGCGAGCGCTCTGCCCACTGCACTACAGGACTCCCCCCCCCCCCCTCCAGATGCTCGTGATAAACCTTCCGTCTAATAATCCTTTCGTTTGAGACAGCACCTTTCAAATTGGGGGTGGGGGGGGGTTGGAGATGTCTCTCCCAATGTCCTGGTAAGATGGTTAGATAAGATAAGTCACTCTCCCGTTTAAGTCCATCCCCAGTGAAACGCTTTCAGACGCGTCGAAAAAAAACACCACCATAAGCTGCTGTTCCAAATGGAAGGGTTACTCTCGATGGGGTATATAGCACCTTTCACGTCAGGAAGATGTCTCAAAGCGCTTCGCAGGATTTACTGCGAAGTGCAGTGACTGTCTGCGTGTTTTTTAATGTGTGCGGGTTGGGGGGGGGGTGGGGAGGGGGGCGTTGGGGTGAACAGTGACAAATGATGCTGCAAAAAAAGATAATAATAATAATAATCTTTGCATTCGACACAGCGCCTCATCGCGCCTTCGAGACGTCTAAAAAGCGCTTCACGGGATGCGCTGGAGAGCGCAGCGGCTGTATGTTTTGCGGGCGAAATGGGAAGCGTAACTTCGGGGCGAATGGTTATTCCTGCGCTGATGGCAATGCTGTGCGCATGTGCCCATCTGTCACACCGTAGCGTCTCTCGTTCGCTCAGGCGGTCTGCGTGCGCGGCTCTGCGACTGTGGCGCTCGCGCGGGCGCGCGGGCGCGTGCGTGTGCGTGTGCGCGCGTATCAGCTTCGCTTTGTTCGGCATTCCTTCTCGCTGTGCCTTTTCGCTTCGGCAAGTCACGCACTTCAGCGCCAGATGGGGAAAAGGAGCGATGAATGAGTCGCGGGTCGTTTAAAGAGGATGTGGAACCAGGGGAAAGGGGGGGGGGGGGGGGGGAGAGGGAGATAGAAGGAGAACCTGTCATGAAATAAGCGTTTGGTGCAACTCCTTTCGTGTTGGGGGGGGGTGAGGACGTCGCAATGCGCTTCGCGGCGCAAAACTGTAAAGCGTAGTGACTGTGTCTTTGGTGGAGCCCTGCAGCTCAGCGGTCGGAGCGCTCGCTTCGCAAGCGAGAGGACCCGGGCACGATTCCCGGGCGGGGCGAAACCTCGGGCGGGTTTCCTCACTCCGCACGCCACGGCTTGCCCAGCGGTAAGTCGGAATCCAGCCGTTGTTGGTCGATTGGCGGATGGCTTTCCGGGCGTAATAATCCCCCAATTTTTAAAAAAAGAAGTAATAAACTCGGTCACTCAATCCCCGGCTGTCTGCGGGGACGCTGCTGTGCGCGATTGGCTGGCGGGTTTCGCCCGCAAAAAATACACAGTCGCTACACTTCACAGTGAGTCCTGCGAAGGGCTCTGAGACGTCTCGAAGACGACGCGATAAGGCGCCGGGTCGAATTATTATGATTATTATTATTATTACTATTATTATTACAGACTCCGACACAGAGGAACATTGTGACAGAGTCCGCAGCGAAGGAGGAGAGAGGACAATTCTGCGCGACAGCCTGGCTCAGTGGTAGCGCCCGCGCTCTCTCTCTTTTTCTCTCTCTCCCCCGACACAAATGGTCATTCACTCCGCGGCCGTTTGTGGGACTCTGCGGGTGAGTAAACTTTGCCGACCGCGTTTCGGGCGGGAAATAAATCGTGACCGCCCTTCACGGCTACACCGCGCAGCGCCTTTGAGACGTCTCGACGGCGCGATACAGCCCCGTGTCACAACGCAAAGATTATTATATTAATATTATTATTATTATTATTATTAGAGAGAGAGAGAGAGAGAAATGGCATTGAACAGGAGCGAATCCGGACACTTGCTCTTTAAGCGGTCACTTACCTTCACGGTTTTTGCGCGGGTGCGTGTGTGTGTAAAAAAAAAAATAGATGAACGTCGTTCGCCCGATTCCCCAGGTGGGTCTTCCGCCCTCGTGCCCTCCGCCCCCTTTCACCGTCGCCTCCGCCGTGCCCTCCTGCGCCTCGTCCGCATCGGAGCTTCCAGCTGCAAGAGGGGAGAAAGCGCGGCGTGAACCGGACTTGTGCGAAGGAACGGTCGGCGGTGCGGTCGGCGGTGCGGTGCGGTGCACAAGTCCAACTCCGCACCAGTCGCACAATGGAGAGTCTGAAATCTCCACCTCCGTAATGGCCTCATTGTTCCTCGGAAAAGAATCCAGGACTTTTTTTTGTGCTCTCTCTCTGTCTTTCTCTCTCTCTCTCGTTCTCTCTCTCTCTCTCTCTCTCTCTGTCTCCGTTTTTTTTTCCTGAATCGGGGGTTTTGTTCCCAATTCCATTGAAGAAAAGATTAAGACAGAGAGACACACACACACACACAGAGAGAGAGAGAGAGAGAAAGAATTCAGATTCACGGCATCACGTGACTGCGCTCAAATCGTACCGCACGGGGATAGCAATTCCTCGACCGCGACCCCCCACCACCCCCCCACGAGCCCACCCCCCACCCCCCACCCACCGCCCCCCACATTACTCCATCCCGGCCCGTCCTGTCCTCAAACCAGACACGATCAGTTTACAACTGAACATTGGCTCCATTTCCTTTACAAACCCAACCCTCCATCTTCAGTCGGGGCTAAACTTCAGGCAAGTTTCCTTACTCCACACTCACGCACTCACACGCACTCACACACACGCTCACACGCACTCACACACGCGCGCACACACTCACACGCACTCACACACACACTCACACGCACTCACCCACACGCACACGCACTCACGCACACTCATGCGCACGCTCACGCCACTATTCACTTCGCAGTAAGTAGGAACCCGGTTGTTGGTCGATTGGCGGATCGCTTTCCTGGGGATAATAATCCCTCTCCCCCCGCCCCCACCCCCCCCCGAAAAAATGTGGTCGCTCAACCCACGGCTGTTTGTGGGGACGCCGCTGCGTGCAATTCGCTGCCCCCGTTTTGCACCACAAAGCGCACAGTCACTAAAGGTTACAGTCTGTCCTGTGAGGCGCCTTGAGACCATCTCAACAGTGTGACACGGCGCTGTGTCAAACGCAAAAATTATCACTAATTGTTATTACTTTTATAATATCGAAGCTCCGAGTTGAGGTTAGGGATGTTTTGGTTTGGCCCAACCGGGTGCCTGACACGAGCGGAAACCCCTTCACCGCGATTAAGACGTACCCAGGGGGTAACTGCTGGAATCTAAGCGCCTAAAACTGAATAGTTTGCCATCGAAAGCGCTCTCCCCGTCGCTTGTCCAGCGACGACCACCCTACCCGCCAGGACTTTGGCTTGTAGGGTTAACAGGAGCTTGACTGGATGACGGGGGATAAATGTGTACTTGTTCGCATCCCTCCCTCTCTTTCTCACTCTCTCTCACTCTCTCTCGCTCTCTCTGGGTCTCTCCACTCACTCACTCACTCACTCACTCAGTTTCGCGAAAGGGCAGAAAAACATTTCTTCGAAACCCCCACTCCCTCGCTGACACCAGCGATTTTGCCGCTGCTGGTTGGTCTCCTAAGTCCTGCCTACGAAGAAATGCAGGAAAAATGTGACCTTAACGTAAGCAGTGCTCACAAAGCTCTCCGGGTTCGTCCCAAACCCCCGACAGGAGCACAATGTGACGATTGATTGGGCCTCTCGGAAGCACAGAAATAAAACAGTCGCGAAATCTCACTCTTGTCCCTTGTCTTGGCTCCCTTCAACGGGCCAATCTCGACAGAGGCGGGTGGGCTGCCCTCTCTGTTCCCAACCGCTCAAACCCTGGCCGGGGGTCTCAAAACCACAGCGGGTGTGAGTTGTGGTCCGTCTGGTGTCAACCGCGGCACCAACAATTCCTAAGACCAGGACGGACGGTGCAGTCAGACCCCATTATATCACAGGGACTCACTGGGTGGGGTGTCAGCCTGTCTCAGCGGGTAGCTCTCTCTCGCCTCTGAGTCAAGCCCCCACCCTCCCAACCCCACCCTACCCCCCCCCCCACACACACACTCCCCACTTCGGGACTTGGAATCCCACAGTCTAAGCTGACGCTCCATTGCAGCGCTGGGGGAGGTGTGTGTGTGTGTGTGTTGCAGTGTCGGAGACGCAGTCCTTCGATTGAGACGTTAAAGCCGAGGTTCGGGTGGATATTGGTCAAAGTGGTGGTGGGGGGGTGGTGGTGTGGGCTGGGGCTTGATCCCCCCCAACCTTCTGACTCAGAGGCGAGGGAGGGCTGCCCACTGAGCCAGGCTGACAGCTTGTCCAACAGTTTGTCCAGTGAGTAGGACAGCGTTGGGGTTTTCAAGAGGAAATCAACTACGTTGTGAGACGGTGGCGGAGATGGGGTTTGGGGTTTGGGGTTTGGGGTGGGGGGAAGGGAAGGGAATGGAGATAGCAAGTGATGGTATGTAGCAAATAGGGTGGAGCTGGTGGGGGGGGGGGGGGTGTTGTTTCATTGAAGGTGCCGTCCTTTGAATAAGATATTATCCCAAGTTCCCGACTGTGCCCTGTACCCTCCTCGTCGTCCATGCCATCAGTCACCCCCCACCCCCCTTTCCCTCCCCTCTCTTCTCCCCCCCCCTTGACCTCAGCTCGGGTCCGAAATGCTGTACACTGTCCAGGACCTTGGGACGTCCCCCGACGTGAAAGGCGCTGTACAAATATAACCTTGTTGTTGTTGTTGTTGTTGTTCAGGTAGACATTAAAGATTTTGAGGTGCTATTCAAGAAGAGAAGGGAGTTTTTCTCTCTTTCTCTCTCTGTCTCTCTCTGTCTCTCTCTCGCTCTTTCGCTCTCTCTCTCCCAGTGTCCTGGCCAACAATTTCCCCAAATGCTTGTGGGACATTGCTGCGCTGCCACATTTCACCTACAAATATAGTCGCAGTAAACACTGTGAAGCGCCTTTGGACTGTCCTCCCTGTGCGAAAGGCGCTGCACCAATCACAAGGATTATTCATTTAATTATGATTAATTTTCTGACTCCGAATTGGCAGCAATGGGTTCAGAGTTGGGACGTGGACCTCACCCAATCTGAGATGACACGTCATCGCGCTGCTGTGTGTGTGGGGTGGGGGGCGGGGGGGGGGAATGCTGCACTATCGAGAGATGCTGTCCCTCGGAGTAGATGTCAAACTGAGGTCCCGTCTGCCTATTATTAAGCGATAATGACAATAATAATCCTTGCCGTTGATACAGCGCCTTATCACGGCTTCGAGACGTCTCAAAGCGCTTCCACGGGATAAAGCAAATTGACTGGATGTTTTGTGGGCGGAACGGGTGCGATGGGGCCGCACAAAAATACCCAGTCAGTCAGTTCGCTTGACAGTATATTCCGTGAGGCGCTTTGAGACGTCTCGACGACGTGATGATGAGGCGCTGCGTCGCACCCGACGATTGTTATCACTGCACGATCCGCCTGTCTGTCTGTCTGTCTGTCTATCCGCCCGTTACCTTTGCTGCACAAAATGAATCCCCTTTCACCGTGAGGACGACGATATTATTTTTTTGGGGGGGGAGGGAAGAAGAGGGGATGGGAGGAGGGAAGGAAAGCAGTAACACAACTTGCAAACCCGGCACCACAGTACCCGTTAAAGCCGCAGACGCTGCTGCACGCGGCACCGGGTGCATCGGAGTCGAGGAGGGAAACGGACGTGAAATTCACACCCAAGCGATGCATCCCACAGAACGGGGGCAGAAACTTTGCGGTTAAAGGCTGGCTTTTACCTGGGTCACAGCGGGGAGACGCACAAGGCAGATACTCCCCCCGTCTCGCTCGGTCCGGCACCGCTATTTCGCCTGCGTGACTCGCCGGTCTTTCACTTCGCCCCCTCTCCATCTCCGTCCAAACGTCCGGCGTCCATCACACGCGTTCTTCTTTCCCCCTTTCTTGCTCCTTCTCTCTGCGCAGCCCCCCACCCCCTCACCACCACCAATTCCCCCAACTCCCCCCACCTCCCCCCCCCCCACCACCCCCACCCACCACCCCCACCTCCCACCACCACCACCTCCACACCACCTCTTCACACCGCAAACAAAACTTGTCGGAGAGAGGCGGAGGGAGGGAGAAGAAAACAGAGAGAAGGTTAAGGCAAAAAAAAAACTCTTCCACCCCCACCCCCCCACCCCCTCACCCCCTCACCACCCCTTAAAATAAAAATCCCTGTCTTTTATCTTTCGGCAAATTAAAATCTCCACCGAAATCCGCAAACAACCAGGTCAAAAATAAAGCTCCCGCCGTACAATAACCGGCGAGAGACGAGAGTGTAAAAGGAACGTGTGTAGGAATCTATCCCCCCCCACCCCCTCTCCCCCCCTCTCTCTCTCACACACACACACACACACATTGATCGCAAAGCTGTGTGTTATTATTAATGCTTCCACTAACTTTAAAATCCTCCCCCTTTTCTCCTCTCGGATTAGTTGCCGTGTCGTTTCCTCTGGGCTTAAGGGGGAGTCGATTCATCGGAGCAAAAAGCCTGTGACGGCAGTCCTGCTCCCAACTCCCTTGAGAGTATCACACTCTCCAAATAAAGTCACTGAATCATCGCCATCGACATAATGATACAGACCGATACACAACTGCCTCAGGAAACAAGGACTCCTCGCGCCCTAAACATTCTCCACATGGGATAATGAACCCTCTTCCTGGCTTTCTGGCCACTCATCATCCTCCCCATCATCATCATCATAATAATAATAATAATAATTAATAGTTTGGGACAGGGCATGTGCCAACGACTGGCAGGATGGCGGAAGGCGAACTCGGGCTTCTTTCGTCTTCTGTTCTTAAAGTCACAGCCCTTCACGTCGCCAATAAAGCCTACGTCCCCTCAGCATTGCTGTCCCCGTTAAAAATGCTTAACGAAAGCAATGTCCCTTCAACGTGGCTAATAAAGGCAATTTCCCTTTAAACTGCCAACGAAGATAGTGTCCCTTCAATCCGATTTATCTGAATGATGCCTGTGATTCCTGGAGACGTACCGTCCTGAAACGGGGAAGGTATTGATTCACAGTGCGCAATACATTTACATTTATTTATTCGGTATTAATAACAAACAAACAAACAAACAAACAAACGTTCAAACAAACAAACAAACAAGTAAAGAAATTAATAATCCTTGCTTTTGACCCGGCGCCTTATCGCGTCTTCGAGACGTCTCACTGACACACTGCAAAGTGTAGTGACTGTGTGTTTTGCGGGCCAAACGCGGCAGCCGATCGCGCACAGCAGCGTCCCCGCACTCTCAAGCAGCCGTGGATTGAGTGACCACATTTTAATTTTTGGGAGAGATTATTACCCCTCGGAAGCGGGTTCCCAATTACTGTTAGGGAACTTGCCGAAGGCTTCACCCCACCCGGGAATCGAACCCGGGTCCTCTCGCTTGCGAGGCGAGCGCCTTAACCAATACACTGCGGGACTATCAGTTACCCCAAGTCTTGGCTCTCGCCATTGACTTAATAACACATTAATACGTATAATTATTATATGATACAGGTGGAGTCCTGTAGCTCAGTGGTTAGAGCACTCGCTTTGCAAGTGAGAGACCTGAGTTCAATTCCAGGCAGAGGGCGAAACCTCGGGCAAGTTTCCTTACTCCACACAGAGCCTAATAATAATCCCTCCAAAACCAAAAACAATAATAAATTGGTCATTTTCAATCTACGACTGTTTGTGGGACATTGCTGTGCGCAATTGGCTGCCGCGTTCGCCCACAAATATACAGTCAACTCACTTTACAGTGTGTTCTGTGAAGCGCTTCGGGACGTCCTCCCGACGTGAAAAGCGCTCTATCAAACGCGAGGATTATTATTATTATTATTACTATGCGATTATTATTATTATTATCATTATGATCATACGTATGAGAGTGGTGTGTGTGTGTGTGTGTGTGCATGTCGGGGGCCACACAGAGCAGCCAGTTTGCTTGCCCTGTAATTGTTCGCTGGCGAACAAAACCTGCCTTTATCCAGCGTCGTTTCACGACCCAGAGCGCTGCGAAGGAAGGCCGTATAAAAGAGAAATTAGGCCCACGTCCCAGTCACTTGTCAGCACAGGCGCGACTTGATCCACAAGAAGAAGCGATGCTTCAGTTTCCCCCCCCGGTCATGAGAGCTAAAACCTGCTGACAGAGCCGTGCCTGCCATTTCCACTCCGAGCCGTTCACATTCCCAGCTGCGCGTCCGTCCCCACTCAATGCTGTTTTGTATTTGTTGTCCGTGCAAATGTTTTGCCGCGGACACCGATTGCTTTGTTCTGCGCGCGTCTCGGGTGTGCGCGCGCGCGCGGGTGTGGGTGCACGCGCGCGCGTGTGTTTGTGGGTGCGCGCGTTTGCGTGCGTGTGCGTCTGTGTGCGCGTGTGTGTGCACGTGCGTGCGTGTGCCTGTGTGTGCGCGCGCGTGTGTATGCACGTGCGTGGGTGTGCGCGCGTGCATGTACCTGTGCACATGCACCCCCCCCCCCCCCCCCCACCCCCACACCACCACCACCCCCCCCTCCAACCGGCCGGATGCTGCGTTGGGGGGGGACGAGAGGCCGGAACCTGATGGGCAAAGTGGTCCTCCTCACCCCAACTGATCTCGTGAAACAATTTCTTGCGGATGCCCAAGGTCAACTCCGATCGAGCGAGGTCGGGCTGAGCAATACAATCCTCCTCACGCACACAGTCACGCAGTCACGCACACACACGCGCACACGCACAGTCACACACACAGCCACGCAGTCACACAACACACACACACACACAGTCACGCAGTCACGCAGTCACACGCACACAGTCACGCAGTCACACACACACACACACACAGTCACGCAGTCACACACACACACACACACAGTTACGCAGTCACACACGCGCACAGTCACACAGTCACACACACAGTCACGCACACACACACACACAGTTACGCAGTCACACACACACACACACACAGTCACCAGTCACACCACAGTCACACAGTCCTCACACACCACAGTCACCACCACACACACACAGTCACACACCACACACACACACACACACACACACACACACACACAGTCACACAGTCACACACACACACACACACACACACGTGCTGTCACAATACCCACTGTCACAGGATATCAATAATCTTTGCATTTGACACAGCGCCTTATCGGGTCTTCCGAACGTCGTCGAAACGTCTCAAAGGGCTTCACAGAACGTTGGCTGCAAAGTGCATCGACCTGTGTATTTTGCGGGAGAAAGGATTGGGTCTGATTTATGGTAATGTCCAGGAAAATAACTGCTTCACAAGAACGTCAGGAGAAGCGAGGGCTCCCTGCAGGTTTCCTGAGGTTGGGATGCCTCCACCCTTGCCTTTGCCGGGAGCGAAACCTGTGCCATAATGCGTGATCCAGACCCGGATAAAGCAGTGTGAAAAGGCTGAGCCCTGATCTCTCACACCTCTCGGAACGATTCCGATAAGAAAACAAAGAAGGAGCGGCCACATTTCCGCCGATTGGACGAGTCACTACCAAAGCGGCCGCAGATTGAGGATTGCATGGGCTTAACGTCTCATCCCGAAGGACGGCACCTCTGACAACTCAGCCCTCGCTGGCCCCCGGGCGCTGTATCGGAGCATCACCCTACAGCAACGACTTGTATTTACGTCGGGCCAGTGGGGGACACGTCTCAGAGCTGCCCACGGTGGTGTGGTTGGACACTCAGCAAGGGGGAAGGGGGAAAATGGGGAGGTGACCATAGCGGTAGGTTCCAACATGGGGTTTGAAGATAATAAACAATCGTGGATTTGAGTGACCAAATTAGGATTTTTTTTTCAAGGGAAGGTGAGAGCGCGAGAGAGCGATCCGCCAAGTCGGCTAACAACCGGGTTCCTACTTACTGCTGGTGAACAGCGGCGTGTGCAGTAAGGAAACTTGTCTAAGCTTTCGCCCCGGCCCGGGAAGCCATCCCGGGTAAAGCTCACTTACCTTATCAAACGACGCCATGGGATCTTTAACGTCCACCTGGACAGGCAGATGGGTCTAAAGCCTCGTCATGAAAGGACGGCACCTCCGGCAATGCAACGCTCCCCACAGCATTGGATTGGAGGGTCAGACCAGCGTTGGACCGCATGAGTTTCAAGACCCAATATGGAGTGTAAGTCATATGCGTTCCAAGTGAAACATGAATGAACGGGGAGTAGAGGTGATGGAGTGGGGGGGGGGGGGGGGGGGGGGGTTCGGTGGTGGTGGGGGGTGGGGGATGGAGAGGGAGGAGGTGGCATTTACAAGGGAATTAGATAAGCACATGGACAAGTGACAGAAACAGAGCTGGGAATTGGGATTAGGATAGAGGAACAAACTCCGACACTAATACAATGGACCGAATGACCTTCCTCTTCCTCCTCCTCCTCCTGTGCCGTAGCTGTCTGACCCGGAGAGCAGGAGAATCAGAGGCGCTTTAAAATAAAAGGAAAGGATGCAGGAAACGCACAGCGAGGGTCCCGTTCGTCCCACCTCTGAAGGCGGGAGAAGCCATTAACCTCTCCCTCATGCGCGACCCGTCATCAGACCTGAGCATTCCTCCGCTCTGTTCAGGACCCGCTCCCGCTCACAGCTGCCAGCTGACCCGCCAGACACACGCTGGCTTTACGACAGGTTACCCCACCGCCTGTGATAACACTGGTCACCAGTCCCGCAGCTCACAGTGTTCCGGTATCAATCATTGGAAGTCCTGTAGCTCAGCGGTGAGAGCGCTCGCCTCGCCAAGGGAGAGGTCCTGGGCTCGATTCCCAGGCCAGGTCAGGGCGGACACACGCGCACACGCCTCTGTTTACCCAACGCTAAGTAGGAACCGAGTGTCGGATCGCTTTTCAGGGGCGAATAAATCCTTCCAAAAAAAAAAATAACGATAAAATAATAACGATGACGATCACTTCAACCCAAGGGCCGTTTGTGGGGGACGCCGCTGTGCGCAATCGGCTGCCGCGGTTCGCCCTCAAAATATACAGTCAGTTCACTTTACGGTGTGGCCTGTGAAGCGCTTTGAGACGTCTCAAAGACGTGATCAGGCGCTGCATCAAATGCCGGGATTATTATCATTATTATTTCTGGGAGAGAAAGGACACGACTGTTTGTAGGGGACATTGCGCTGTTCCAAATGGGCTCCCGTGCCTGCCTACCTACAAAACACATAGTCACTACACGTTATATCAATGCACTGTACAGGGTGTCCACAAAATTCTGTTACCCCCATATCCGTGTTTTTCCCCTACAGCACACGACCAACAACCGAAACACATGGAAGAATGATGACAACAACAACAACAACAACAACAAGATTCCATTTATTGAGCGCCTTTCACGTCGGGAGGACGTCCCAAGGCGCTGTACAGTTGGGTCAGGACCCGAGCAGGGGGGAAATGGTCAGGGTGAGGGGAGGGAAGGGAGGGAGCGAGGAGGGGGTAGAGAGTCGAGAGGAGAGCTGAAGGTACGGTCAAAGAGAAAGGTCTTGAGACCGGCCTTGAAGGAGGAAAGGGAGGAAGCGGCGAAGGCACTGGGGGATAGAGTTCCAGAGCCTCGGGGCTGAGAGGCTGAAGGCCCGGCCACCGATGGTAGGGCGATTGGGGCGGGGGACGTGGAGCAGACCGGAGCCGGAGGGACGGAGGGTACGGGCAGGTAGGTAGGGGGATAGTAGGTCGGAGAGGTAGGAGGGAGCGAGGCCGTGAATGGCCTTGTAGGTGAGGATGAGGATCTTGAAATCAATCCTCTGGGGGATGGGGAGCCAGTGGAGGCGAGCGAGGGTGAGGGTGAGGGCGAGGGTGAGGGCGAGGGTGAGGGCGAGGGTGGGTGTGGTGTGGTCGCGGTGTCTGGTGCGGGACAGTACACGAGCTGCAGAGTTCTGAATGACCTGCAGTGTGGAGGGAGGGCCGGGAAGGCCGAAGAGGAGAGAGTTCCCATAGTCCAGCCTTGAGGTGATAAAGGCGTGGACCAGGGTTTCAGCCGCGTGAGGGGTGAGGTAGTGCCGTAGTCTGGCGATGTTCCGGAGGTGATGTTCCGGTTGTGGTGCGGATATGGGGGAGAAAGGACGGCTCAGGGTCGAGGGGAACCCCGAGGTTCCTGATGGCTTTGAGAGGTGGAGAGTGCGGAGCTGATGGTGTCAGCGCCTGAGGTGCGGAGGCGCTGACGTGAGCCAATCAGGAGGGCCTCGGTTTTTCGCACGTTGAGCTGAAGAAAGTTGTCTCTCGTCCAGGACTCGATGTCGGACAGGCAGCTGTCAGGACATCGGTGGTCGTGGAGTTGAGGGTAGAGGAGGAAAGGTAGAGTTGGGTGTCATCCGCATACATGTGGAAGTTAACCCCATGTCTGCGGATGATGTCACCAAGGGGGAGCATATAGAGGGTGAAGAGGAGGGGACCGAGGACAGAGCCCTGAGGGACACCGCACGAGACAGTGCGGGGGGGAGGAAAACCATTCGTGGAGACAAAGTGAAGACGGTGGGAGAGGTACGACCTAAACCACTCAAGGACAGTGCCTTGAAGGTTGAGGTGGGAGGACAAGCGGTGGAGGAGGATAGCGTGGTCGACCGTATCGAATGCTGCCGATAGGTCGAGGAGGACGAGGAGGCAGAGGGAGCCCTGGTCACAGATGGTCAGGATGTCATTGGTGACCTTGACCAGGGCAGTTTCTGTGCTATGGGCAGCACGGAAACCCGACTGAAGGGGTTCGAATAGTGAATGGGTGGAGAGGAAAGAGCGCAGCTGGGAGGCGACAACTCTTTCCAGGACCTTGGAGAGGAAGGGGAGGTTGGAGATGGGCCGGTAGCTTGATAGCTGCGACGCATCAAGGGAGGGTTTTTTTAAGGTGGGAGTGATGGTGGCAGTTTTTAAGGAATGGGGACAGAGCCAGAGGAGAGGGACAGGTTGACGATGTCTGTGATATGTGGGGCAAGAAAGTGGAGCTGGGAGATAAGGAGTGGAGTGGGGATGGGGTCAAGGGAGCAGGTGGTTGGTTTCAGGGATAGGATGAGTTCTGTGACAGAGGGTGGGGAAACGGGTACGAAGGTGTGTAGGGGAGGATGGGTAGGAGTCGGAGTGTGGGAGGGAAGGGGTGGGTGGTGGGTGGATGTTGGAGGGGAAGTGACCGCGGAGCGGATTCCCTTGATCTTGGATTCAAGGAAATCCAGCATCTCCTCGCAGTGAAGGTTGGAGGAGATGACCTGCGCGGGGTGGCGGGGGGGACGGAGGAGTCGGGATGTGGTAGAGAACAGTAGCCTGGGGTTGTTCTTCGCCTCCAGGATTATCCTGGAGTAGAAGGACGACTTGGCCGAGGCTAGAGTGGAGCGGTAGATTTTGAGGAGGTCCAGCCAGATTTGTCGGTGGACCGTTAGGCCAGATTTGACAGGTGCGTTCAGCAGCCCGCACCTGGCTTTCAGTGAGCGGAGGTGGGTGGTGAACCAGGGGGAGGAGCGAGAGTAGGAGACAGTACGGGAGGTGATGGGGGCAAGAGTGTCGAGTGTGGAGGAGAGGGTATTGTGGAGGAGGGAGAGAGGAGAAGAGGGGTCGGTGAGGGTTGAAGGCCAGAGGGAGAGGAGTTCAGAGGACTCCAAGGCAGCGGTTAGGGATTGTGGGGGTAACTTCTTCCAAGGGCGGTAGAAGATGGTGGTGGGTCTGGTGGAGGTGGGTGGAGGTGGTGAAGGAGATGAAGTGGTGGTCGAGATGGCCTTGTCGGTGATAGTGACATCCGAGACACTGAGGCCCCGGGTGATCACCAAGTCGAGTGGGTGGCCGTGACTGTGAGTGGGGGAGTTGATGTGGAGGGAGAGGTTGAGTGAGGAGAGCAGGGAAGAGAAGTCAGAGGAGATGGAGCAGGAGGGGGTGAAGTGCAGGTTAAAGTCGCCCAGGATGATGAGGCGATCAGAGATGTGAGGAGTGTTGAAATGTCAGAGATGAAGGTGGGGGAGGTTTTAGGGGCCGGTAGAGGAGGAGGATTTTAAGTGAGAGGAAGGAGGGGTGGGAGAGGGTGAGGTGCTCAAAAGAGGGGAAAGAGCCAGTGGAGTAGGGGGATAGGGCAAGTGGTGTCCTTGAGATAAGGGCAACACCACCGCCACGGCGGTTGGGGCGGGGGATGTGGTGGGAGGTGTAGCCGGGTGGCGTGGCCTCCGTGAGGGGGAAGGTGTCGCCTGGGGTGAGCCAGGTTTCTGTTAAGGCCATAATGTCAACGCTCTCATCAAGGATGAGATCGTTGATGACCAGGGCCTTGTTGCAGAGGGAGCGGACATTTTGCAGTCCGATGTGGAGGGAGCGGTTGACAGAAGGGTGTGTGGGAGGGGAGGGGGGTCCAGGTTGTGAGGCAGGGGTGGGGGATGGGGATGAGGGAGGAGAGGTGGGCTCCCCGGGTCTGTGTCCGGGGTGGCTGGCGAGTGTGGTGGGGAATGGGGCAGTCGGTGCGGCCGCTGCCGGACAGCCAACGCCGAGTGCCGCGGTGAGCCCTGGGTGGGTGGGAGTGGGGGGGTTGGGGGGGGCTCTGAGCCCTGGGTGGGTGGGAGTGGGGGGGGTTTGGGGGGGTCTCTGAGCCCTGGGTGGGTGGGTTGGGGGGGGGCTCTGAGCCCTGGGGGGGGTGGGCTCTGAGCCCTGGGTGGGTGGGTTTGGGGGGGGGGGTGGGTGGGGGGGGCTCTGAGCCCTGGGTGGGTGGGAGTGGGGGAGTTGGGGGGGGGTCTCTGAGCCCTGGGTGGGTGGGTTGGGGGGGGGGCTCTGAGCCCTGGGTGGGTGCCCTGGGGGGGGTGGGCTCTGAGCCCTGGGTGGGGTGGGGTGGGGGGGGGTGCCCTGGGGGGGGGGCTCTGAGCCCTGGGTGGGTGGGTTGGGGGGGGGGGGGGGGCTCTGAGCCTTGATCACTAAGAGCAACACCTACGGGCTAATTTACTTCCTCTCGCGAGTCAGTTCCCTTGTGGGTGGCTTGTAATCACACCTCCTGTTGTCTTCCTTGGTTCCCTTCTTCAGCAGCTGAAGATTCTTTCAGATTCAACCAAGTTTAACGAAGCTTGTGGGTCGGGCTGGTTCCATCATGGACCAGTCATGGATTGAGTGACCGGGTTATTATTCCTCTGTTTTTTTGAAAGTTGTGTGTGTGTGTCTACGAGTACGCACGCGTACACTGTGTGTGTCCGTGCAGCACGCGTGTAATTGTAGGCAGGTGAATGTAGAGGATATGTCTATGTGGGTGTGTCTCGAGTGAATCCAATAGAACGCACAGCACAGAAAGAGGCCATTCGGTCCAACTGGTCTACGACGGTGTTTATGCTCCACATGAGCCTCCTCCTGCCCTTCCTCAACTAAGCCTTCAAGCCTAACCTTCTATTCCTTTCTCCCTCACGTACCTGTTTAGCTTTTCCGTAAATACATCTATGCTGTATGAGTGTACGGCGTATATGTGGGTGTGTTGACGAGTTCTCTGTAATAACATAGAAGAGGATCAAACATCATTAAAGAGCATTTATTGAGAACCACACCGTTTGGTTTAAGCAAGCCAGGACCATTTATTTCATCTCAAGACTCTGAACGTGTCGAATAGCGTGGCGAGCCGGGCTGAACGAATGGAGAGCTCACTGAGGAGTTAAGCGTAGAGTGTTGTAGCCTCGGTCGGAAACCTTTAGGTCATCGCTCGGCTGGCTCTCCAGTGCAGGAGCAACAACATCAGCAACAGCAACAAATGGAGTACCGTTGAGGAGGAGGTGTGTGGAGTCAAGTGTCGTCTTGTGCACTCGAATGAGACATTCATAAAACTGAGGTCTTTGGGACCAGTACTTGTTGCATTCCACATAGACTTAAAACAATGCCCTCCTTTCTGGTCCCCCCCCCCCCCCACCCCCCCGAGTTGAAATGCTCCAACTCCCTCATCACCCAACTGCCTCGTTATCTCCCTCCCAGCAGAACGATTCCAAATGTAACCCAGCCTCGCAAAGCAAATTCATCCAACTCCCTCTTTACCTGTCCGATCTTCTCCTGCCCTTCTACTCCGTCGCTTGCTGGTGATGTTGTCGCACGTTTTGGGAAAACCGTTCCGCGATGGGATTCGGAAAGCGTTAAGGGGTTCATTCGTATCCTACACACAGATCCGTTGCTCTTCGATGAACCTTTGTGGTGCAAAGCGGTCTGACAAGTAATGTGGAGGAATATGGAAGCATAGGAATGGTGGCCAAAGAAACAGCCGTCGTAGTGCACGATTAAAAAGTTATCTGGGGAAGGGATTTGCGGCCAGACGACTCGCTTCTCTGTATTTTTTCGAACAGCATCAGCGGATCTTTATCGCGGCCGAGCAACCGCAACCAGGTTGGCCTCTTGGCTTTTAAAAATATAGAGCTTCGAGAAAGCTGGGAAGTGTGCCGAAAAAAGACTTTGCCGTGCGATCGAGCAGAAAGCGAGCGGAAAAAGGACCGGGGGGAAAAAAAAATAACGTAAATGGACCCGGGTTAGAATCTGAAGCGATATCGGAACTGTACCTCCCGGGTGGGCTGCATGGCCCCAAAACCCCAACGCTTGCAGTCGATCTCGGGGATCTCCTCGTCGGGATTCACCAGCTCGATGTCAAAGAGGCTTAACATCAGGAAGATAAACTGCTTGAGCTCGTTCATGGCAAAGAACCTGCCGGGGCACATACTGACCCCGGACCCCCACGGCATGTTGTAATAGTTGACCTTCTGCCCGCCTTTGTAAAAGAGGGTCTTCTTGGTCCCGTCCGGGTTCAGGAAACGGTCGTACCTGAAGGTGCCGGGCTCCGGGTGGATCTCGGGGTTAATGTGGGCGGAGAGGTAAGGGAACAGAGCCAGTCGGTCGCCCTTCCTCAAAGCGTACTCCCTCCCGTCCGCCATCTTCAGCATCATGGCCTTGACCACGGAACGGATCAGGACGGGGGCAGTCGTCAGCCGCAGGTTCTCATCGATGGCGCTGTCCAGAGTGGGCAACCCGAGCTGTATGTCCTTGGCCAGCTTGCCCAGATTGAGTTCAGTCCCAGGTTCCTGCCCCGACTCCCTCACCAACTGGTCCACCTCAGCCCGCACTGCGCGCAAGGCTTCGGGGTGCTTGAGCAGGAAGAGGAGCAGCCAGAACGAGGAGGGTCCTGTGTTTCCCTGGGAAGCCCAGAGCAGAATAAACATGTATCTGTTCTGCATGATGTGGTCCACTCCATACTCGTCCATCTGCCGCTGACGCTCTTCGATCCAGGAGCTGATATTCACCTTGGTGTACATCTTCTTGATTGAGAGCAAGTCCCAGAAAAAACTCTTGAGCCTCTTGGCTTGCAGCCACTGCTTGGGGGATTCTATGGAATAGGCCAGGATCGGGAAGAGCTGGTCGTACTTCCTGAACTGGGTGAAGAGCTCCTCCGAGCCTATAATGTCCGCCTCCTTGGCGGACTGCTCCCCCTGCTCGTCGGTTGCCTCCACCCCGAACAGGGCCAGGTAGCCGGCTCTGAACAACAGGTTGTAGGAGTACTCGAACAGCCCGGCCACTTGCCATTCGCCCTGCGCCCCCTGGCCCACCTTGGAGAGCATCAGGTTCTGCAGGTGCTTCAGCATTGACTTGCTCAAGCCTGTCAACCCGTCTCCCATCAGGTGCTTGTTGCTGAGAATTTTCAGGAGCTGGTTGTCGTTCTCCAAAGCGTGGTAGTTAAAGACAGTGGCCACTAGCTGTTTGGCGAA